GGCGCTCAGCTTACGTAGATGCGGGTGCTTCAGGACGGCCTCTGGAATCGATTGTCCTCTTATACCGATTCGGTCGATCGTTCTGGCTTCTAAGTCGAAGAAGTTCGTGTTAGTGCCCCGTATTTGAAGTTTCACTCGTTTGCTTTCTTCATCCCTTATGACGTTCTGTATGCTGTGCAGGTGGATGGTCTGCGTGGGGCCGTCGGCGCGAAGTTCCTCCGCTAATCTTCTGTCTATTAGCGAAACCGTCGAGCCTTCGTCCAGTAACGCGTAGGTTCGTACTTCGCCGGCCGGTCCCTTGATGACGACCGGGCACACCTTCAGTAGGACTTCTTTCTTTTTCTCGGAGCCGACTGTGGTGGCGACGGTCTCGACGTCAGTCTTCTTTTCGTGACACTCCTCGGTGGTGTCGGCGGACGTCGATGCGGGTGCAGGTGCGGCCTCCGCGTGCAGCAGTCTATGATGGGGTCGGCGACACTCGTTCTGGCCGCACAGCTTTGCTCTGCACGATGTTCGTCGGTGGCGCGCGGCTATGCACTTGAAGCATATTTTCTCCTTTTTGACAAGCGCCCATCGGTCGTCCGTGTTCATCTTGATGAACTGCGGGCACTTGGGTAGCTCATGATCGCCCCGGCAACAGCAGCAGTAGCGACGCTCGGTTGCTTGTGTGATGTTGTGCGTTGCCGCTCGTCGCGTTGCTCCCGTGTTGAAAGGTTTCTTATCTTCTTTTTTCGTAATCGTGCTGGGCGTTGACATGTGTGCATGTCGGAATGCTCTATTTGCTTCGCGCGTGAGAAACTTCGATAACGTTACGATCTCTGGTTCTTGATCCGATCCGTGGTCCTCTGCGTAGTCCCACCATTTTGAAGTGACGCATGGGTTGAGCTTCGCTACTATTTCTTGCACCAGCATTGGGTTTGAGAGGTATCCTTTCTTGTCAATTTGCTTCATAACGCAGACGATGTTTTGAACTTTAACCGCTAACGCGTTCCATTCGGCGGCGGTGGTTCCGAGCTTCGGTAATCTTCTTATCTGCTCGAGCACGTGGCAGATGATGCTTTCTGGTCGTCCATAACACTGCTCTAAAACTTGTACGATCTCAGCCGGGTCCGTAGTGGTTGCTAGCAGCGCCGATACTGTTTCTCTAGCTTCCCCCCTCAGGCAGTTTCGAAGTCGCGCCAGGTTTTCCATCGGCGTAAATTTGTACAGCTGCGTGGATTCGTTCAAAGCGGCCTTGAACGGTAGCCACTCCATCGGTGATCCGCTGAATAGGGGTAGTTCGGTTGCTTGTCTCGGCGGCGATCTGACGTGCATCATTTTCTCTAGCACGTCTGCCAGCTTTTCCATGCCCCGTTGCTGTCTTGACGGCGATCGTCGTCGTTGTGGCTGTGGTTCTGCAGCGTGCGCTTCGGGCTCCCCCCCTGCATTGATGTAGGGAGCGCGTCGTGACACGCGGTGTGGCGTTGTTCTCGTTGCTTCTCGTTCCAGTTGTGGCGCTGAATCTTGCTCCGTGTGTTGCGCGATGGAAGAGCTTTGGTTTAGCCATGTGTCGATGCGTTCCTCGACGTTCGTATCGTCGGCGATACTCTCGTTGTCCGACTCTTGTATAACCGCTTTTTCCCATGCCAGCTTCTTCTTCATAAGTTCCGTCTCCATACGGATCTTCATTTCCGTCAATCCGCCTTAGTTCTGCAAACGATTGGCAAAGGTTTCGACTTTCACAAGTAATATGTTACATATTAGACTGAATTGATTTTGGTATTTATATTAATATCATTCGTTTTGTGGATGCATAATGACACATACAAATACAAGCACTTTTGTTCTTAATTTCAAAACTGAATTCGGATGAAAGTTACGAGCAACCAATAAGTTGGCTCATCACTAATGTTGACGTATAAACCAAACATCATTCTTTTACACGTAACATAATAAACAACTCAAACATACGATTAAAATAAATTAAAATTAATTTGAAAGTAAGATTATAAGAAACACAAAACGATGTCGTATTCATTTATTTTCGATACTTAATTTACTTTTATTACGTCAGAAACAACATTTGAATGAATATCATAAACAAAATCCAAACATCGCGATTGACATCTAGTATGATTTCAAGAACCAATTTTTATTTTTTAAGTACTTCCTCATTAAAAAGAAGAAGACAAATAAATAGTTCTCAAAATTAATATAAAATTAGTTCCCAAACTACATGTCGCTACGGTCTGTTCTTGTTCAAAAGTAAATTAATTTTCAAAACTCATATTCTATTTGTACTTTTTTATATTTGTATTGATATCTAAGTTTCGAACTTTTAAAATTTCAGTTTTTTAATATGTTAGTTAAAAGGAACGGAAATGACTGTCTTTGGTCCATTCGTTTCCTGCAACTTTTGCTGGAGTCGCCATCTAGTGGAGGTGCTTTTTAGTGCTTTCGTTTTTTTTAACACTTCGATTAATCGATAATAGTCTTACTCGTGATCGATTAATAATTGATCCACGTCAATGATTATTAAATATTTTTACCCCAAAAGTTTATTAATGATTTCAGATTAATTCCACCGTATCTTAAAGCCTTCCAAGTTAATGAAAAATAGTTAAAATTCAATTTTAAGACAATGTTTACTATACCAGCATTGTGCATGCAAAATTTATAGAATTAAACTAGCTGTACCCGCGATTTTGTCCACGTGGAAGGTAACCTTAGTAATTCCTTATTTCATGAGCTATCTGCGAGTGAAAGTCCCGTCAAAATGGGTCTAACCGTTTCAGAGTTTAGGCGGAACAAACAGATAGACAAAAATGTAAAAAAATATTATGTTGGTACAGGTATGTACCGTGTATAACATGTGCATTTAGTAAAAACGGTTAATTTGTATTTGTTAAAATAAAACTGTAAGATCCGTTCATGCATTCAACGGGAGTTCCCCGACCAAAGAGTAAAGTTCAAATATTCGTGGGAGTATTCCAAGGTTGCCATAATAAGTAATAGAATATCTACTAATAATATTCACATTCGCGATCCGCTATGGGTGTTTGAGCCATCGAAGTAAAGTAAGTAGGTACTACACTAATGTTTTAAACTATTCCTATTGCTTACATTTTAAGAAATAATCGACGGTTAATCGTCGATTATGAAATCATAATCGATAGCAAATGATTAATCGATAAATCGATTAATAGATCAATGATAATCGATTCCGCACACTATTCCTAATTAGTTTGGCGGCAAAGAGTAGTATAATATTGTGTATAATATCCTTTTTCAGGTGGACAAATGAAACTCCAAAAAAATATGCTCCATTATATTTGATGAGATGTCATTAAAAACAGCACTCTCGTATAATAAAAGTAATAAGGATTAAAGATAACATTAATGGATTTGTAGAACACCAAGAAAAGAAAGTGAATTTTGCAGATCATACTCTTGTTTCTATGTTGGTGCTGTTTACAAGTGGCAACAGCCTTTATGTTTCTATTTCTGTCAAGGAGCTACATCTACTGTAAACATCAAGAATATTTTAAAGTCAGTAGTAGAAAAAGTTATTGAATAGGACCTTAATCCCATCGCAATAATATATGACCAAGGCTCAGCTTTCCAATCAGCACTCAAAAATCTAAAAGAAGACACTAAGTGTGATCAAAGTTTAAAATGAAATCACAGGTTGGTACAGAGAATTATATTTATATGAAAGAAAACTAATAGATTTAATGAAATCAGTGAAGGTTCTTATTATTATATTGTTATTTATGTTTTAAGAAGTTCTTAAATTTTTGTTTCAGTTGGCATTCTTAAAATATGTGGGGTGGATTTGAACATTATGATTCTACACACTTGATAAAATGTATCAGGAATAATTTTGGTGGTAAACTTGCAAAATGGCATGATATGCTATGAGACAGACTGTCAACACACTGAAGCTGGGCTATTTTATAAATTAAATGACCAATGAGTTATACCTGATAAAATTAAAAAGATGAAGGTAATGCATTGGTTATTATATTAGTATAACTTAAATTAGTATAAATAAAATAAATAATTTGTATTCAGCTTCTATATTCTCTATCGGAGCAAGTGTTGATTCAATGACCTGTATTTTTAATTATGTAACAAGTAGTTAATATAGTTTACACTTAAACTACAATAATGATTCTCTAATGAAGATAATTTTAAATATGATATCTCTTTTTGCAGGTAAAAAATTGTGTAAAAATATGTCTGCAGCTTTGTCTTACACTGCAAATTTCTGTGAGTATTAGATGAAATTTACTAACAGTTAATTGTTTTGAATCAAGTTTCATACAATTATTATATGAATATTTTAATTTGCAGCAACTTATGAGGATGTGCACAACATTAAGAAATGCAGCTGAAGTTGTTTCATTCTTTGACCAATTATTTGATAGTGTCAATGGAGCATCGATAAACAAAAAAAGCATAAAGGAAAAGAGCTGTGACAGATAAGACACACCATCATTCTTTCTGGCCAAAGGCAATTGAAATTTTAGAAAAACTTAAATATGTGTATAAAAAGGTATGCAAAAATCAGTGCCCTCTTTCAAAAAAATTGTGATTACCTTGAAAAGTTTCATAAGGTTGTGCCACTAAAAAAACGTAGCTAGGAATTGCCGAGAATGCAGAAGAGAGCTGTGAAAAATATAATAAGTTAAAAAATAAATTATTCAATAAATAATATTGGAAAAATGTGTGTTTTATTTACGTGTTCATTTTTCCTTTTTTGTTTTAATACAACAATAATAATAAGCTAGACTTATCAGTCTGCTTTATTATTATTGTTGTATTAAAACAAAAAAGGAATTTTAATTAAAGTAAAAATAATGTGGAAACTAGGAAGACGGCTAGGTACCTACCCAAAACAGGGCTGTATAGCTAAATGCCTTTGCCGATAGTAGATCTATATATTTAAAACGAATGAAGCTGTCATGTATCACTGGCTCCCAATCACGTTCTACGAAGAAATTTTTTGTTAGGAAGTTGGTCGTCTGATACCTACTAAGTGTAAAAGTGTTCAGTGTGCGAAGTTGCATTAAGTAAACGCAAATGGCCTGAATTAAAAGTATTATTCTTGTTATGAAATTTAATTTTATAAACGCTTTCTGTATTTTTTTTTAAATAAATTATGGATACACAAACTGAAATCAAACCCATCAATAGAGATACAGTACATAAAATATGTTCTGGTCAGGTATGTAAATTTCGTTTATAAAAAGGTTCAGAAAAAGATTTTTATTCTTAACTTTCCTAGATATTAGTGGCTTATTAGTAAAAAAAATTACAGGTTGTATTAAGCCTAGCAGTTGCAGTTAAAGAATTGATAGAAAACTCTTTGGACGCGGGTGCTACTAATATTGACATAAGATTTAAAAACTACGGCATAGACTTAATAGAAGTTGCTGATAATGGTTGTGGTGTCACTGAAGACAACTTCGCTGCATTAAGTATTTGTCAATTACCTTTACACTTGTTACTCCATATGACTAACTGATAAACTCCATCATAAATTGATTCAATCTTCAACCTTATTTTACAGCTTTAAAATATCACACATCTAAGCTATCTGATTACTCTGATCTACTTGGTATAACTAGTTTCGGATTCAGAGGAGAGGCTTTAAGCTCCCTGTGTGCCCTTTCCAACCTCTCAATTACTACAAGACATCAAAGTGCTGGTTATGGTAAATTCTCTTTCAATATTCTTGAACTATATTTTGCCATTGCCAATGTCAATTATAATTGTCATTAGTTTAAAACAGCCTTTCCCAAAGTGGGTGATAATGCCCCTTATGGTTGCTGCAGGCCTAAAGGGGGCAGTAAGAGACTGAGAAAAAAATGGGGGCTTTGTATAGGCTTGGGTGATTTGTAATTTCATTTAGTTAGACCTCTTAGACACCAACTGCATGAGCTCTTGACTCTCCACTACAACTCGTGAACATCAACTAATATTAGTTAAACAATTGCTCAAACTCAGTTTTATAATTCTCTCAGTGTATATCATATATTTGTCCTGTCTTATGGAATATATAAAATAAAAATCATGTCAATAGGTCGCTCCATTTCAAAATGAAAGTAGACGCAAACAAATAAATAAAAAGGCAACAGACATACTTTCGCATTTTAATAGTTATTAGCAGTACTCTTAGATAGGTAACTTTCATAGATTGTAGACCATGGGCAGTCATGTTTTAACAAGTTTTTGTTAAATAACCCAAATGTGCATTCCCGTATCAATCCGCTGGTTCATATAATACTTGTTGAGTATGATTAAGCATTGAATAGATAATCGAGTTTATGCGTTTTATTCCTATTGATGCGTGCTGTTTATGCAATCCTATATAAGCTTTGTAATATTTATTTTATTTTTATTTCCGGGGTCGCACATAATAAATAAGCAATACCTACTTAAGTTCAACTCTTACATATTTTTCACAAAACTGAACAGCGTCGGAAGTTAAAAAGAAGTGTTGGCAATACTGTGCGGAATGTATTAAATTCGGATTCATTTAAAATCCCACAAACCATCGTCGCCTTTGTGCCTTCTTTAAAACAATGAAGCAATGAAGCCTTCAAGAGTGTAAGATCATTTGAATAAAATGCATCTAGATAAGAAAGACAAGGATGTAGCATATTTTGAGATCTAAAGAAAAAACATAATACTCAGCCAAGTGTAGTAAAACTATTTTCGGCGTCTGCTAAGCAAGCTGACGATGGACTTGGAGCTTCGTACAATATCTCTTTGTTAATTGTTCAAAAAGGCAAACCATATTACATCAGAGAAGAGTTAATTTTGCAATAAAAGAAGTTATAACTGCTGTGCTATATAAACCGGCCGCAGATAGTATCCGAAAAATTCCTTTGAGTAATAATTCTGTGCAAAGACGAATTGATTTTAATATCTGCAATATGTCATCAAAGCCGTCATTAAAATCCGCAACAGCTCTTTGAATGATTGATTATTTTATCAGCTTTATGTTACTAATGACAAGGATTTTAATCGTTTGTTGTTTCATACTGAGTTTGTTGGCTATCAAGAGGCATTTTTTCCGACTCGATTTTACAACCTGTTTAACTTAGAGTTCTTGGAAACTAAAGATACAAAATTTCACAACAAGCTCACTACATCAAAGAATGATATAGCTTACATGACAGACCTATATAAATTGTTCAACAACATGAATATCCAACTGCAAGGCGATGAACTAAATTTTATTAACACAAAAAACCACGTTACTGCTTTCGCAGACAAACTGCTTCTACACAAAAAGAATTTAGGCAGACGTGAGTTTCACAATTTTCTTATTTCATCAAAATCCTGCAGTAACGACGATTTATTTGCCTACTGCCAAATGGAAAACCTCCATATTGACTTCACCAAACGATATCAGGACATTTTGAACTTGGAAATACCAGACTGGGTGTAGGATCGGTTTTGAAATATCAATCCAGCAATGTCACCACAGCTGGAATTTTCGGCTACAAAAACCGATCCCGCAATTGTACCCTGGATTGTGGTCAATCGTTCATGGTTCAAAGCATTCCCGTCGTCATATTCGTGTGAACGTGGATTTAGTGCTGTGCCAAGACTGCTTACTAAAAAGAGAAATCGTTTTCATGTTATTGAAGTGGTGACTTGCAACTGTTCTTGAGTAAATTGGAACCTGATATCAACACTTATTAAACAACATTAGATTCATCCTTCACATTAGTTTTTATATAAGAATCAATTATGTTGTTTTTATTTTGAATAAAAGATACACTGTTTGAATACTATAAAGTTGCATTTCAATAATCATTTTCATTGGCAGGTGTAGCCCGTAAGAGTTAACTTGAGACCTGAGCGCCGTTGTGTATTACTTATTGCTCTCAGGTTTTAAGTTAACTCTTGAGAGTTATAGTAAGTCTAACATCTAATTCTAATTTTAAACTTAAAATTAATGTTTAATCTCCGCTATTATAGCTTACAATAATGAATTAATTTTATTTTAAGTTATAGTGGTTTTAAAGTTAGTGAAAAATGGGGGCGCTCAAAGTGGGCAGTAGACAAAATAAGTTTGTGAAGCCCTGGTGTAAAGCAACATTACTGATACAGTTTTCAAATTTAAACATTCAATAGAGTTTAAACTTGTGATTGAACTTTAATGAGTGTTTGTGCAACTGAGCATATTAACATCACATTTATTTGGGTGGCTATGATTTACAATGTTTTGTTCTACTTTTTAGCAACTAAAATAGAATGTGATCATAAAGGGAACATAATAAAGAAAACACCATGTTCACGGCAAATAGGAACAACAGTCAGCTTAACTAATTTGTTTGTTTCTCTACCAGTCAGACTAAAGGAATTCCACAAAAATGTCAAAAGAGAATTCAATAAAATGACACAACTTCTTTATGCATATTGCTTAATATCATTGGGTGTAAAGTATGAATACTTTCATTTATATTAATCATATAATTGTTGAGAGCATCTAAAATGTAAAAAAAATATATTTTTATTTCTAGGATTACTTGCAGTAACCAAACTAGTGCTAATTCAAAAAATTTGGTAGTTGCTACCCAAGGCTCAATGTCTTATAAAGATAATATAGCTTGTGTATTTGGCCTTAAACAATTACAAAGCATTCTAGAAATTAAGCCAGAATATGTCAGTAATATTAAAGAAAATATATTCAAGGGCTTGTCCCAAGATGTAGCATTGACTGAAGAACAAAGTATAGCAGATGTGGAAATCAATTTATCAGAAGATTCTAATGATGCTGAAAACATAGAATCTCAAGACATATGTAGCTCACAAAAGTCGCAAGGCTACCAAAATGTTGTTAAACCTATACAGTTTACTGGATTTATATCATCATGTGCTCATGGAAGTGGTCGATCAACTACAGACAGACAGTTTTACTTTATAAATTCACGACCTTGTGAACCCACTAAAATAATTAAATTAATAAATGATGTGTACAGACAATATAATCCAAACCAATATCCATTTGTATTTTTGAATGTGAATATTGAAACAGCTTCTGTTGATGTAAATGTAACACCAGACAAAAGGAAGATATTTTTAACCAAAGAGAGTATTATACTCGACGTTTTAAAAAACTCAATATTGAAACTGTTTGAAAGTATTCCTAGAACTTTGAAAATTGACGCATCTTTACATAAAGATATTGTAGATACAGTCAAACCTGTCACTAGCCAACCTAGGATATTTAATTCTTTTTTACAGCAATTTAGCAATAAAGATGTTTCTGAAAAAAATTCTATCCACAATAGTCGTAGTATAGAAAAACCAGACTTAAAAAGGAAATCTACCTCAATATTAGACTTTATTTCATCAAAACATGTTAGAAAAGTAGATGATGAATATTTGCCAGATGATTGTAGTGTTAAACATTCAGAATATTCAGTGGAAGATGCAAATAATATTAAAGGAGAATGTGTATCTAAGTATGGGGAACCATCGATCAATAATGAAAAGAATATCAAAAACTCTTCAAACAAGACAATAAGTTTAGAAGGATCAAATGAAGAACCAATCACAAGAAATAATCATGAAGTTTTATATTTAGAATCTACTGATAAGTTACCTGATACACAGATTAGAGGTATTAATGATATAGAAGTGCAGAAAAAACACACCATAAAATGTAAAACAAACAGTTCCTTGTTAAAGCCCTCTTTAACATCTACTGATGTTAGGAAATGTAAAGTTCTGACAGATAGAGATGACTTAGGCAAATACAATAAGAGATCGGTAACTTTGAAAACATCTCTTGATCATGTAAAACATTTAGCCAATATATATCAAAACAATAAATACAAAACATTACCAGAGAGAGTCAAATTCAAAAGTACCATTAATCCTGTACACAATAAAAAATGTGAAGAAGAACTTAGTAAAGAAATATCTATGGAATCATTTAAACATATGGATGTTATTGGCCAATTTAATCTTGGTTTTATTATAACACGCTTAGATGATGATCTTTTTATCATTGATCAACATGCTACAGATGAAATCTATAATTTTGAAATATTACAAAAAACAACAGAGCTTACTAATCAAAAACTGGTAGTGTAAGTATAATTTTATTTCTACCTGCAATAATCATTTTAATATTAAAATTAAAAGTATATTAAAGTTTTATAATAGAATTTAGTCCACAGCCCTTGGAACTGACTGGAGTTAATGAACAAATATTAATGGATAATTTGGAGATTTTCAAGAAAAATGGATTTATGTTTGACATAGACGAGTCTGCCCCACCAACCAAAAGAATCAAGCTCTTAACAATACCTATGTCAAAAAATTGGATATTTGGAAAAGAAGACATTGAAGAGCTTTTGTTTATGTTAAGGGTAATCAAGTTTTGGTTAACCAAATTCAATGTCTAAAATGGAGGAACCTATATGTATATTATATGTAACCAGAACCTATATTTCTTGTTTATTAAATTTGTATTTGATGTTTTTCTTTTAGGAATCTTCCTCCGAATATTGTAGACCTAGCAGAGTAAGAGCAATGTTTGCTTCTAGGGCATGTAGAAAATCTGTAATGATTGGCACAGCACTCAGCAAGGCAGATATGAAGAAACTTGTTATTCATATGTCAGAAATCGATAAACCTTGGGTAAGTAGTATATCGACGACGAAGTGCCAATACCTCCTATCTAACAATTTTCGAGAAAATGACTTTTTTATTTCATTGACATTAAGGTCGTTTTCCGCATGGGTTGATGAAATCACCTATCCGTATTTTTTACGACAACTGGAGAAAAATGAATGTGGAAATATCTTCTAACTAAATTAGCGCATATAATTTATGGCAATTTCTCTTATCTACGTACAAGACTACTACATCTCAACGCGGAACATTGCCGATTAACTTTTCACAGCCGCGCCGCGGCTCGTGATATGGGTGAAGTTAGCGGTAGGGTTGAGTCGCGTCACTTGCGAGGGTGTAATATCAATCGTAAAAGCAATTTTTTTTTTTTAATTAAAATCAATACCTTCTATCGTACAATTTATTTAATGAAATCACTGAGGATGTTAAACCAATACCTTCTATCTAACCAAATACCTACTAAACGATTATTAATCAAATTAATATTTTATTGAAACCTAAGCCTGTCATATTGATATTGTGCTCCATATAAATTGATTTCTTGATTTTAACGTTTTCAAGAAATTAAACATTTTTTTCACTTTGTGTAAAATTTTGTCTGTGTTAGTTAGAAGGTATTGGCACTTCGCCGTCGATATTTCAGACAAATAATTAGAACTACATGAGGGTTTCTCATGTTACATAGATAAAGCATTGATGCACTTTGTGCTACTTTACTGATCACCGAACTTATTATTGGCACTTTAATTTAAAATGATAATAGATCAAGCTGTTATCAGGTAGTTGCACAAAGGTCCATTAATGTATTAATTAAATTCTTGATTTACCTAACAACTCCCTAAGATTTAAAACACATTAATCAAAATTCTATTACCATTTTTTTAACTTATTCATTTCATATATAAGTCAAAATCAGGACAGTAGTTTCGGTTTTGTTCCCACATTACCCTAACAATTAGATGTAAATGTAGTTTTAGTTAAAAGTATATATTTAACATTACGTAATCATATTTGTCATTTACAGAATTGCCCACATGGACGACCTACAATAAGACATTTAGTAAATTTGGCATTGATTCATGTCAAAGATGATGTTGAATGATTTGTAATATCTTTTTAAATAATCATGACTTATATTATAATAAAATTTGTGAATATATAATAACTTATTTTATTTATATAACAGAAAATATCACTGTGCTTTAAGAATTAAACACTGATAGTTTTAAATATATTGAACCCTGTGTGGGCAGTTGTCACTATGACTCCTGGTATTTGTTTATGCCAATGCAGTTCTTTGATATCATTTTGACCTTGGTGAATAAAAAGTAACTGTGGTGGCAAATGCTGAAAATATAAAAAAAACATGTTAATTAGCTATTCAAACACTAGATACAACTAAGAAAATTCTAAATAAAATTACCTTTAGTTCATCATCAATCATTTCATCATCATCTCGTTCTACTGCTAAATCCCATAGAGCTACTTGATTATCTTCACCTGCTGATGCAAGTACACTTGGCTCTGTCCAATGCCATTCCACAGATGTGACAGGTGCTGCATGGTGCTTGAATGTACCAACGGGTGTGTTACTAGTAAATTGTCTTAAATCCCAGATATGAATGAAACCATCATCACCACCTGATAGGACAATAATAAAACGCATGATTATTACATTAACCAAACGAAAAACTAATTTAGTTAATTTGTCTAGAGAACAAGAATCTTAATTCCGCACTGGATCAATGAAATTTAGCGCCCTAGGCAAAAATGAAAGACTAATATATATATATAAACTAATAAAAAGACTAATATAAAATAATACCGATTTAGATAGTGGAATTTTATCATTAAAACCAACTCTTTAAGTATTGATAGTCTCAGAATTGTTTTTATAATGCACTGCATGAGTGCAATTAATAAGAGCAAAACAAATTATGCCTTTGCATTCCTTAAATACAAGTGTGTATATGAACCAGCCCTGCTTACTCCAGTTAATAAGACATTAAAATATTTACCGCTACATATAAAAGGTTCTTTATTATTCCAAGTGATAACATTGACATCACTTTGATGTGCATTTTCACAAGTCAACATACAAGCTTTATGTGGAGCTGCTCTTGTATCCCAAATCCTTATAGTTTTGTCAACAGAACATGTAGCTAAAACATTTCTAAAATAAGAAACACATTGATTAATGAACTGTATGATTATGAAAAGAAAAAATAATGCTACATTTTACCTTTCATTAGGAGACCATTGTATATCTTCTATGGAACTAGTGTGTCCAATTAAAGGGCGCTGATCAACATCCCAAGTACCTGCTTGATTTGGTTTCCATATGTGGATATCTTTTTTACAGTCTCCAGTAGCCAACACCTTATAAATATAAAGCAAATATGTTATTTAAATGAAACTACACAATACTGAGATTGAAAATAATATTTACCCCTGGTTCTGTAGGACACCAATCTATCCCAAAGCCTTCTTGTTGATGGCCATTAAATGAAAACAGTGGTTTAACTGGATTTGTTACTGTTTCCAAATTATACCTTTCTAAAGCTATAGGATCATCAACTGCTTGCAACTGTTGTGTAATATTCCATATATCCACTCTACCTAATTCTGACCAACTGGCAGCTAAGACAGAATTTTTATAACTCGTAGCCTGTATAAAAAAAAATCGATGCAATGAATAATACATTAGAAATGAGTATAAACTTTTGTGATAATAATTCATTAAGTACATTATTTACAGCTACACATAATGGTTCTTAAACATTTTTATAAATTCTCTAGTACATACTTATATTCAATAGATGGCACACATACTCATTTTAACATATTCCTGAATAAGTATAAATTATCATTGTTCATTTAGAGTTTATGATAATTTAATTAAATATTTATGATTTAATATCTACAGAATTATTTTTAGTTTGCAGGGGTGTTCTGATTGTCATTTAATTCTCTCTATGCAAAATTTATCACTCTTAAGCAAGAAGACCACCAATTGTTACACTATAACATTAATATTCGGTTAGAACATTTTTGTATCTATGGTGTTGACAAAGAGTTATTTTATTTTATAACTTATTCTATTTGTTACCATTACTATATATTTGATGTAGAGCCACATGAACAGTATGCCACTAAGCCCTGTGCATACATATTTTGCAATTCTACTAGGCTTTGTCTAAGTCTTAGGCTGGAATTAGTGTAACGCAGACCATTTGTGCTGACAACTATGTAGTTTTCAGTGCATACTAGTTTCAGCATTGTGATGATTATTGCGAATTACAGGTGGTCAATCCTGTGAGTGTTCAAATTGTTGCAGTGAATTATTTATAAATAATATGCAAAAAGAAAGAAGCACCAATGAAGTTACCACAATGCAGCCTACTGTCCTAACTTGTTTCTGAAATCTTAGTTTTTGTTGAGTGGATTGGATACATTCACATGCTTCTCCTGTGTTCATCGCTATTCCACAGGACTTTACATGCTGATGGTGTCTGCTCTACTTGATACTGGAACTCTCACTTAAGGCAGAGGTGCATGTGCAAAAGTCTGGTCAGTGTAACTTTAGAGTGCTTCTATAGAGCCCATACATATTGGCCTGTCAGTGCCCACGGTCAGTGTGATACTAAAACCAGCCTAATTAATAAAATCTATTCTTACTCTTATTCTGTTGACACAGCCTTGATGCTTAATAAATGAAAATGTCATTTCAGGCTTTTTCTCTTCATCTTCTACATCATCATCATCTTCATTATCACTGTCAGAATCGTTTTCATCCTCAGCCCTTGATGTTGGATGTAAATTTGACATTTTAATCACTAATAAACTGAAAATTGTGACACAACAAATTAGATTTTACCTGAATGTAATTATTATGGTATATGATTAAAAACTTTTATTAGAATTTACTTATTTAAATGTGCGCTGGACGCTTGGGTACCGGCAACTAAATATGCTGTCATAGGGAACTGATCTCTATCACTTCCAAGATTGTCAGGTATAATGTCAAAGCTGAGACACGGAGCACCTGTTTGTGCCTGATGCAGCATTACATATGCCGACTGGTCGCATACTAATTGCTCATCATCTTTTAGAGGTTGCCCAGGTAAATACGTTTTCGGAATCTCATCTGCATTACTGCCACCGTCAACTCCGTCCATATCTTCTTCACTTTCACTTGAACTAGCGTCCATTTGTTCGTCATTTTCATTCGACATATTAGTTTAATATTCACAAGAAGTACTTTTGTACAAAACTGAACTTTTATCAATTCTTCTAAAATTCTACGCACGTGGTTCACAAAGCAATTCCCTTTGATCATTCATTAAATCGTTAATGTCAAAAAGTTGACCTTTTTTAATTTATGGCTTATTTGCGTTTACACAACTACGCCATGTCACGTTAGTGGTCTTTACACGTAAAGAAACAATAATAAAAATATGTCAACTTTAAATTTTGGAATAATTGATAGAACAATAAAAAAAGGCTCTGAGCACGTTTATCTGCTTACATTGTTAAAGAAAATACAAATAGAATTTATATAGAAAACAAATCTTATATATATAAAAATTTTGTGTCACGATGTATGTTGCCAATAAACTCCAAAACTACTGAACCGATTTCTATCAAATTTCACATGTAGCCGTATTTTGGTCTAACTTACTGGATAGGATTATCTCAATTATTCACTTATGTCGTGAATGTAAATACAAAAAATGTTCTAATTAATTGTTTCTTAAGCAAGTTTTTATTTACTGTTTAGTTTTATGAAGTTCTAATAGGTGGCGGTGTACGTTGATTCGTAGACAAAATTCTTCATTATCGTTTGACATCTAGGTTGCAAATACACCCAATAGATGGCGTTGTGTTCTAGATGGCGTTTATTCTAAAGTAATCTGCGGTAACGTTTCTTTCAAAGAATTTTGCGTAGATTACGTTTTCGATTAAGTTTTGTGTATGTAAACTTCAGAACTGTTTTTTTTTTCATATTTATTTCAAATTGCATTGAATTGGATTAATATCTCTAAAGTTTCAAAGATAAAGACTGAAACATATTGGACTTTCTTTGTTATTTTGTTGTACTATCTTCGAAGTTAAACATCAAGGTAATTTCATCATCAGGTCAAAAAACAACAGCGTTTTTGGAAAATATGATGCCCAAAGTAACTATATCACGCGGACGAAGTCGCGGGCAAAAGCTAGTATATTTATAAATCAAGACTATATTGATTGCTAGCAATTGAGATAAAATTTTGTATGAAGAGAGTTTCTCCATACATTCTATGTAGTTGGCATTGAGATACATACTTGGAATTGAACAAATGTTCTATGTATTACATAGTTTACAGTGTAAACTATGTAATAAACCTTACACGAATATTGATAAAATGTATGCATTACTTATAAACAACTATATGTCCCTTTTTAACTTTTCGTTAATAGCCTATGGAAAAAAGGATAGATAATATTTCTTCAGTTCATATCTTGGAAACATATTGATGTGACGTCACGAGCTATTCGCCCCGTGGCGGACGGTCATGTTTAGCATGGGGGTTCTGAGGTAGATCAGCTAATACGATTGCCTGTAAGTCTTATTTTTTTGTGTTAAATATACAAGAAAGTTATTTGAGTGACTTTAATGAGTGGCACAGCTATTTGGAGAAGTTTCCTGAAAATCTGTTTTCCTGCAGCGAAGAGAAAGGAAAGCGTTTCGACGGACCTAAAAGTAATGGAAGATAGGTACCAGGGTCGCTGGGATGAGCATATGATGGCAGATTATTCTTGGTGTATCACACGGGACAGTCAAATACAGAACATTGTAAAAAGCCTAGGAAAGAAGCTTTCTACCTATGAAATAAACTAATTAGTTGTTGAAAATTTGCTTTTAAGGTTTAATTTATACATATTCCATATCTCGAAAATTACACGTAGCATTAAAAGAATTAGTATGCAGTTTTAATACGGTTACCCAATATACTAAAAATCTGTTATAGTTTTGGTGATATGGTGCCGTCAGTCCTTTTACACAATAGGACTGACGGCGCCATATTATAACCCTTAGTTAGATAAACGCATTGTATGTAAGGATATTATAAATACATTTTAAATGCCATTTATTTTTAACTAATTAGCGGCAAAGGTATTATAATAAATGACTCCTTAAGCTAAATTATAATGAAAATCAAAATATATTCCACAATCGACGAAAATATTTTTAATGAAATGAAATATCTATTATCAATACGTAACTTGCACGTTGTTGTCAGTTTCGACTAGTTATGGGGTTCACGGTTTCGACTGCTAAATTAGTCTAAACTAAACTTAGAAAGCAGTGTCTTCCCAATAATCTTTCCTACTATCATAATGAATATGTACAATTATAATTAAAATCAATAAATTAAACAATAAAATACAATACAATATCTATCCCATTTTCAATTTACATATTCCATTCCTAAAAACGTTTAAAGACGAACTGTAGATGTCAGGTATTGCCAAATTATCATTATTTTTATGAAGTTCATTAAAGTCACGGCATATTCTATGTATTGGATTGTTAAATGACAAATTGTTGGCATCGAGTGGCACACTAAATGGGCGCAGCAGCCTAGGCAATCTAAAAGGCGCTCTCAAGTGAATTTCCGATAGCAAAGATGAAGATATCATCCCAGTCAATATTTTATATAAGAATAGAATACCGTGCATTTTTCGGCGATCATAAAGACTCAGCAAACCAAAGAAACGCAAACGTTCGCTATAGGAACAGAGCTCACGCTTGAGGCCTTGTTTTATGGTCAACATTTTGAGAGTTCGCCTCTGTGTTGATTCCAACCTATCGATGTGGTTTTGATAATAAGGTGACCAAATCACGGAAGGAAATATGGGTTTTTTCTTTTTATGTCGTTTAGAACAAAAATGTTGAGTTATATCGTCACCAAATTATTTTCAAAAAACCTACATTTGTGGACGCTCTCGCTGCCCAGTACGTGCGCTTTACGCACTGCGTTGCACTTACCCCTCCCTCCCTTGCCGCAATTCATTGATAGTAATAATAGCAGCTACCTAAAATGTTTTCGTTTTGTCATGCTTGGGGAAATGGTAAATAAAGTTGAAACCTCTTCATACTTGTACGGGCTTAGGACCGTCAAATTGCCTAAATCCTATTAGATACCTACTATTACAATAGCTATACTGCTTTAAATTTATAAAGTAAGTAGGTAAGTAAATATCGAGTTACCTAAAATTCTGTTTAGTTAAACCAATTCAAAGTAGGTACTTAACTCGCTATTCTTTTGAAATCAGGCTATTTAGTCAACTTTATGTACATAATCAACTAATCAATTTACCTACCTACTTTAACTATTTACCTACGTATACTTTAATAATTGTTCAAAGTACATACCGTTCCTCTCCAAACAGAGTCTTGCACCTTTTCTGCACATTGTCTTTTAATTTTGTGAGCACTACCGTGTCATTTTTCACTTGGTAAAATGCCGCTCTGATTTGCACTTTTAAGTCCTCGAGGCTTTGTGCTTCCTCAACATTGTACACACGTCTTTTAATTTCGCCCCACAAATAAAAGTCACACTGTGTTAGGTCCGGCAATCGCGCAGGCCCCACGATGGGGCCTCCGCGTCACATTGATCACCATGTATGTAACACTGCACCATTTCATAATATTCGCGATTGGAATACATTACGACGCGCGAAGTGTGGGGCTGCGGAGGGTGGCGCGCAACACGGAAGCGGAAGGCGGCAGTGCGTGCGTTCAAAGGGGTTGTGCGCGGGCGACTGATGTGCGCCGACAAAATAAAAAACCGAGCAGACATCGTCGTTGGCACATGCGAGTACATCCCCTGCGCCCGTGCCCTTCTACCCCTGCTTGTTTATTCATAACTCGTGTGACAATGCGAATGTTATAATTATCTTGTAATTGCAACAAGTTTACATTTCTCCCTTATAACAGGACTTACAACTCCGGAAAATTAAAATTGCAAAAATAAACCTTATCACTATTTATTAAAATATACTTTTAATTGCTCTTTGTACAGAAGTTAATCCGAGCCGAGAGAGATAGTCACATCGGAGCGCGTGTGTCTCATTTTTTCATCTTGTCATTATAAAAAAATATCGTTAACTAAAACAACCTTAGTGGAAACATTTGTATTTTAATGGTAACTGTTTTAAAATTTTAAGTTATTATATTATCATATCAATTTCGTTAATATTATTTTTTTACAAAAAGATAGTATAAATGAGGAAGTGAATTTAAAAAAAAATTAGGTCTTTGAATTAATGAGTGAATGAATTAATGAATGATTAAATAAAATTAATGAATGAACAATTCTTTATTGTAAGCTAATGGACAAAAAACAAACATACAGGAAGCATTTAAAACCACTCTCCAAAGAACAATAGTCAAAATGGACTACGAAAAAAAAGTTCTTGTACCAAGATGGAACTATCATCATCATCATCATCAGCCCTTTTACGTCCCCACTGCAGGGGCTCAGGCCTTCCTTATGGATGGTTAAGGAGGATGGGCCATGACCCTCCACGCTGGCCCAGCCGGGACCAACGTCTTAACGTGCCTTCTGAAGCACGGAGTAACTCGAGATAATAATTTTTTAGTCACCCATCCCGTGATCGACCCTTGCGACAACGATCGCGGGCCGCGGTGCTTATCCACTACGCCACCGAGCTACTCGGACTTTCACCAAAATGGATCTTTCATGAACTATCACCAAAATGTAATATAAGTTGAATGTAATTATTATATACCAACAATTTATTTTTAAAAGCTGGGAAAAGAAAGATAACCCTCTCTAAAATATGTCTTTATTTTTTAGAACGCAGTTTAAATTATGTTATTTTTGAACGCATCTTATTAATAATGTCATTCCTAGAGAAGTCCCTCTCTTTTCAAAGAACAAGATTATAAAACAAAATCAGAAAGCAGTAAATATCGTAATCTTCTTAAGGGTAACTTATTAATTTTTGTTCTCAAAATAACCTATAAAATCGTAGCAGTCATTGAAGTACGTTATCTGTTAATTATAGGGTACCAAAGAGCGCTGAAGTCGACAAATTTATTTTTAACTTCTTTCGAAAATGCAAGAAAATGAAAAATTGTTGAACTTGATATACGAGATCATCTAGCTAGTACATCTAGAGCACAGATGATCCTAAGGATATATTGATATTTTATTCATAAACATCGATGTTTGGCTAGAAAACATCGACGTGCCGATGCTATCGAAGTTAAAACATCGTTGACAAAACATCGATATTTTCTAGCTGGACATCGATGTTTATTGAACATCGATGAATATCGAGCATCCCTATATGTTATTTTTTCTTTTTTTTTTAATATGGACTTGTACGTATGTTGTTTGTTGTGGTTGTTTTGTTAAATGTTAATTAGTTGTTTAATTTTTTAAATAAAGTAAACAATAATAGTTTAATTAATAATAATAATAACCTCGCAGTTCTCGCAAATTCACTACCGTAGAGTTTAAACAATAGTGAGCGACAGCAATGCGATAACCTAAAATCTTAATTCTATCTTATTTGGATAAGAGTGTTGTTGCTTTCAATTGACTTGTATTTATCAATATGGCCTTCAATTGTATGAGAACGTTGAGTATTATTCGAATCTTAAATACAATACATCGAAATACAAAGTCTACTGCAATTGGCATTGCTCAAGAGACTAAAATTGTCAAACCAATTCAATTTAAAACTGAAGATAAAATTGTTTATTTAGAAGACCCAGATATTTTCGGAACTTTGTCTAAAAATGTGAAAAATCAGGAAGACGTAGTAGAAGATGATGGAGATATTAAAGAACAACAATATTTAAGTAATTTACCATTGCACTCACAGAAATTGACAATAAAACAATATGCCGATTTAATAAAGCAATATGTATTACACAAGAGATTAAAAGAAGCATTTGACATCTTAGAAGTAAGAATGTTAACTGTAGACAGAGTGAAACCAGAAAATTACATTTATAATATTCTCATTGGAGCTTGTGCTGATGTTGGTTACACAAAGAAAGCTTTTAAATTGTTCAATGACATGAAAAAGAGGGCATTAAAACCTACTGGGGATACATATACATGTTTATTTAATGCCTGTGCTAATAGTCCATGGGCTGAAGATGGATTAAAAAATGCTCATAATTTAAGAGCATTAATGACAGAGAAAGCTATTGAACCAAATCTCACAAATTATAATGCCATGATAAAAGCATTTGGTAGATGTGGAGATCTACCTACAGCATTCAAAATTGTTGATGAAATGACATCTAAGAAAATAAAAATTAGAGTACACACATTTAACCATCTACTTCATGCATGCATTTCTGATAAAAACAATGGACTAAGACATGCTTTAGTAGTTTGGAGAAAAATGTTAACTATGAGAGAAAAGCCAAACATATTCTCGTTCAATCTAATGTTAAAATGTGTCAAAGAATGTAATTTAGGTTCAAAAGCAGACATTGAAGAGTTAATAGTTAATTTACAGGCCAATGCTGTTATTAGTGACTGCAGACCAATAAACTATCAAATAACCTCAACTGAAGTCGAATCTTCATCAAATGTGTCAAAATTTGCAAAATATATTGAAACATCTCCAAAAGAAACTGTTACCAAAGATTTTGTAACAGGTGGTTCTCAGAATCTTACTGATAATAATGTGAAAAATGAATTGGAAGTAACTAGTGATAATAAAATCACTTTAGTTAATAAGGTGTCACCTACAAAAATATCCATTGTACCAATTAGACTGGTGCCAAACTTACTTTCAAGAGTGATTCAAATGCAACAGGTACTTGCTTTACAAGAAATAGATACCTTACAGGATAAATTTGCTGTTATTGGTGGTCAAGAAGACTTCCTAAAAGAAATGGAAGTTTATTCTGTTAAGCCAGATATTAAAATTTTTACCCAAATGATAACACTTCTTGATGATACTCATGAAGCTGAAAATAAATTATTGGAAACAATGAAAAAATTAAATATCAACGCAGATATAGATTTCTATAATATTTTAATTAAAAAAAGATGTTTGAGAGGCGATTATGATGGTGCTTTTGTGAGTACTTCATTTTTTAAATAATTTTAAAATTTATTTAATAGTGTCTTTATTAGGTGAGCTTGATAAACAGATAAATTATATTTATTAAATCAATAATAATTGTGGTTACCATTGTTTGATTTCATAAAGTCTGTACATGTTTGAATTTCATTATATTCTTTTGTTTTTGCAGGCTGTTAAAAATATTATAAGAACTGAGGCTGAAATTCGTAAGAAGCGCTTTTCTTTTAACAAGAAACTAAGATTAAAATTTAACATAATGACTTATGGTGTATTGGCCATGGCATGTCAGACCAAGGAAAGTGCTGTGCATTTATTAAATGAAATGAATGATAGTCAGTTAAAGTAAGTAAATGTGGTTTTATAATGAATAGCAATATAATATCTAGCACATATTGATATTAGAAATAAAATTAAGTAATTGAAACTGCTGACAACATTTTGTGAAGCTTAGTTACTATTTTTCTTTCAGAACCAATATAGAAATATTTGGAACACTTTTGAAAAATGGAGCAATGCAATATAATTTCGAATATATTATGTACATAATGAATAGAGTTAAAGAAGAAAATACTAAGATAAATGAAGCATTTTTAAAACATTTGGAAAAATTTATTAAAATATGTAGAATAAAAATTCGGGTTAGTAACCACACACTCAATCTTTTATCATCATCTACTCCTGAAATCCATGATCAATCAGATCAGGAAAGATGCATGTCAGTTTCAGATTTTTATGATATGTCCCAACCAACTTTTAGCATAACATTTGTAACTCTTGTAACTCTTCATTACATTTGTAATATCAAGGGTTGTAATCTTATCAAAATTTTATTTTAGTAGAACGAATTAACAGGCAGTTGCAATAAAAATCCTTGTACAAATTTAGATCATTTATTAGAGCTTAAAGTCATCATTAGACCTTATTGGATGTTTGTGCAACTGACCTACAATTTCATCGAAATCTGTTCAGTAGTTTTTGCATGATAGAAGGACCAAAAGATATACATACATCTATCCTTGCTAACTTTCGTATTTTTAGTAACAGTTCGGTTAGATGAAAATGTGCATACAACCTTATAAAAGATTCTGAGGAGTTAATATAAATTAATAAAACCATATCTTTCATTTGTTAAAAATGTTAAACTCTGTGGCTTAACTAAAATATTCTCAAGAATATCATAACACAGTTCCTAAAACCTAATAAAGTTATAGGAACATTTGGTTTTAAAAAGCTATAATTTTTTAAAATTCTTTTATGTTGCAGGATGGTGACCATTCAGAAACTTTTGCTACCGACTATAAGAATTTTTCAAACTTCTACAAATATTGGATTGACAAAGTAAATGTTAGTGGTGTGTTAAGTTCAGAACATCCATGGCAACAATTCAAAGAAAGCTATCCAGAATCAGTGCAAAGATCAAATGTTGTAATTAAAGAGCCTAAAAGATTTTATAAAAGAAATAAGAAATTTGTAAAATATACTCCGAGAATGTAAATAAAAACTGCTAAAATATATATATATATACTTTTATTGCGACGTCACATCAAGTACTCTTGTTTTCAGTAAGGTTTTCATGAAATGTTGTCTATATCTTGATGTGATGAAGTTTACGGTTGAGCTCCTCAAATTTCAGAAGTTTACGAATGAAGAAGTCTCCATAGCGATGTGCTACTTTTGTATCGGCGATGTGGATCATGTCGTTGTCAATATAGAAATCCAACTGAAAAATAAAAAGGCAGTCTACATTTTTATACAGACAGGTAGTTTGTCTATACTATTAAGGGCTCACTGTTGAACACATAGAAATATAAGCATAGTTTAATTTCTGGATTTATAGTAAAATTGCAACTAAAAATGAGCTAAACAAATTTTGAAATAACCAAAATAAAAAGAAATTTTTAAACTAAATTTTAGTCCTCATTTAATTAGAATAATACATACTAATTCTACAACCACCACCACCCAAATCACAGTAATTTTGTAATATAAATTATTAGATAGTTGTTGATTTGTTAGTAGTTGTAGATAGTTGTTGATAATATCCGTTAAGCTTTTTAAAAAAATATGGTGGAATAAAGCAACTCGCATTCATTAACCCTAACCAAAATTCACTTTATTTGGTAATAATGTAATTTAGGATATATTGAATGTATTTTAGATATTGCCCAGCCCAGAATTTTCAAAAAAGAAATATATCTTCGTGTAAGCACCCTTTTTTCAGCACGAGACCAGGCACCCTACAAGACGTCTATATATAGAATCTTTCATTAAAAACATCGTAAGCGCCAAAATTCCAAAAACGACGTTTTTGTACTGATTGTTAGATCACTTACATTTGCACCTTTACTCATTTACTTTGAAGTCTTTCTTAAAGCTTTAAGCTATTATTTCCTAATTAGGCATTCATCATCATCATCATCATATCTACCGAGAGACGCCCACTGCTGGGCATAGGCCTCCACCAATGATCTTAGACAATTAGACATTGTTTTAATTTTATTATAACAACAGCAGCAAACTGACATATGTCTCTGTTTAATAATATGAATTTGACTTGTACTAAATGCAGTCTCAGCGTAAATTTCCTCCAATGCTAACCTTGTTATTAATAACACTTCAAGGATCTCTTAATTAAAGATAAATATTTTTTGAATTTCTGACGCTTTATCCCATTTTAACTGTTGTGAAATCTCTAAAAAAGCTAAAACTCCAATATTTTTATATTACTACTTAGATTAGCATTTTAAAATTATTTTTAGCGACATACTTGATAACACCATTAACTATCACTGTCGTCAGTTTTAACGTAAGCGATATTTGTCTTATTTGAAGTATTCATTCAAAACTTAACTTTAACAAGTAGTCGCCTGTACAGCATTTAGTGAAGTTTTCAATATGATGATGTCAATACTTTAAGAAATATTAAAAAAAAAACCTCCTGTAAAATACTCAAAATGGCGGTTACGGTGTTCTTCCTGAAAAGGCTCGATATTACTATACGTCGTGATACCATAGCTATATGTGCTACGTCTAGTAAAATTTGACACTGACCTCAGACCCGCTCTGGAACTTGCCGTCGAGGCCGCTCGGTCCCTTAGTCCAGACAACGTTCTTCATCTTGTGCTTGAAGCAGAGCAGGTGTATGGCCAGAGCTGCGTGCTCACGGGCCGCGTCCCTCTCGCTGCCGCGCGCCGCAGACATGAAGGCGGCCAGCTTAGCTAGCGGCAGTGTAGTGTACAGTTTCAAGTAGGAACGGATCGTGGGCAACATTTTCTGCTGACGAACCTGAAAAGAAGTGCTTTTTTTATTACAAAAGTAGATAATTTGCACGGCGTTTTATTTAATAAATGTTTTGTTACACATATAGCCATAGCCTATTTTAATATGAGAAGATAATAAGTAGAATAATATTAACTATAAATACTTTTTAATGTAAGATGCATAGAAGACATATTGCGCTGTTTAAGTAGAATAAACTTGTGAAGTAAATGATGATAATGATCTACTATTTTAAATGTTTATGGTATTCCCTAAGCTTTTAAGGGGATTTTTTTAACAACTGGAATACTGCTCATGTCCATGGGACTTGATGTAACCTTACGATTTGGGTTGAGTAATGTGTCACAGTTGGATGATAATTTAAAAAATGCGTACCTCATCCATAAAGACTTGAGTCTGGTGTTTGACTGCATCACGACCGTAGTTGGAGCCGGGTTCGATGGGGGGAGGGCACGGGGACAGAAATTTAGGGCATGCAAAAGTGAAGCAGTTCTCGAACTCGCCCAAGTCACCATATTGCATTTTAAACATTTTCTCATGATAGTTCTTCTCCCGCAGCACCTGCAAGAATTGTTTATCAATATTAATAAGATGACCCTACGGTTATCCTCTAGAACTTTAATTAAATTATATGATTAATAAAACTACAAAGAACATCAATTTGACAACATCAATAAAGGGATACCAAAAATCACTATAATAACTCACTTGCTGAATGGACTCGTCTACACATTGAGGGTGTAATACTAAGCAAATTGCTAGCAAATGATACATCTGCTCAGTCTGCTTGTTGATCTGGTCGTTTTGATAAGAGCGAGACGAGAACAGCTGTTTGGTACGCTGCATGTACAGCAGAGCCGAAGACAAAGTGCGGATGGCGTCAGCGTAACGCCTCATCATCATGTACGCGAAGCCGACGTAATAAGAAGTGGAGATCTGACACGCTGGCACGTGCGAGTACTGGGACTTCTTGTGCAGTTCAATGTTTTCCAACACCTGCGGCAGGAGCACATTGATTTCAAACATTTCAGAATCTCGCAAATATGTACATAGATAATTTGATGTAAAAAATCTACTCGTACATTAATAATATTTTAAGTTCCAATAATGGGTGAAATTATATCAATCAACACTGATATTGCATACTTTTGGATGCTATTACATATACCTATAATTTTATTTTTCGTGGTGAATCAAAGGTTGTATCAATAGCATTACAATATTTAAAGAATACTATAACCACTAAAAACCATATAGCAATTTATGGAATTACGCATTCACAATGTTCTCATTGTTTTCGAAACTAAAATAAAAGACCTGCTTTTTAATATTTCGTGTTGAGGATATATCCTGTAGAATATTTCGATACCCATAATTTGCACTTCATGACCAATTTCAGCAAAGCAAGTGCTGGTCTTAATATCAAGATTGTAAGGCCACAAAGTCATAAGTTGTTTGCATGTTTTGCAACTGTTTGTTACTGTTGAGAAACAGCCTTTTAAAAGTTTAAGCAAATTTATAATAAAGTGATTTTGCTCTCAGGGAATTCCATGTTTTATGTCCATTCCCAAGGTCCACTCTATATGTGAATCAAATTTTATTAATAGCGATTCAGTAGTTAAGATGCGAAAATGTAACGAACACAGAGAGTTACTTTAGCATTTATAATATTAGTATTGATTTGACACTTTTATTTAATCAAATTATAGTCATAAATGATGATAAAGGAGATCTCACCTTTATAGCTTGGTAATAATCACCAAGAAGTGAATGAAGACGGAGCAGTCCCACTAAGGAGAAGTAACCAAGCATTTTATATAGTGAATGGCGACCAAACTCTCCAGCTACTGAGTCTGGGTCACCACCTGCAGCATACACCTATAAAACAAGCAAATACAGTCCATAAAGTCACTAAATACTCAGAAAATAATAAATGTAAATTGCATTCATCAATATTTTTTCAAATGGCAACTGTATCTTAAAAAAAGGAGCAATTATGTAGAATTTTTACAATTAAATGCTTGTATTATTTTACACTTACCTCAAGTTGTCGTTTGATATTAGATTTGTCTACTAACGAGTGGAGTACATTAAGAATGCAAAGAACATTCCAAGCCTTGTTCTCAGTGTTTAAAGTCTCAATCTCAGCAGGGCTCAGTTTCGAAGTGCGAGATCTATAATAATACGATATGGATAGACTAAACACAATATGTCTTAGATTTTTTTTAAGACATTTATACAGATAACATTTGCTGTTAGGAATAGCTAGTTCTAAAATTAACATAGGGCCAGATTTGCTTGTGACTACAAATTACACATATGACTTCTTATTTTGTACTTTCAATATTGATAGGCATATTATTTTATAGATAATATAGTATTAGATTAGGGAAAAAGTATTTTCGCATGTAGTATGCATAAACTTGTAATATAATGTTTCTGGCTACACCATTTCGGTCACTTGCGGACAAAGGGGAGGGGCCTCCGGCCCTGCTGCCATCCGCCAAAATCATAACAATATAATAATAAAGTTAAAAATGTATGCGCTTTGTAAACACAATATAAAGTTTCTGCGCTGGTTTGAAAAAAATCTCGATCCGGGCCTTCGCTGAGGTTAGTCCGCAATTGGTTTGAAATTTTAATGTCAAAGATGCACGTCGCCCCTGTCGAAATGGCTGCCATTTTTGAAAAAGTGGAACAAGACCGGCATATCTGTAGTTAAGATGTAGCTGAAGAACTGAGGATTGGCTACAAAACAGTTTTGGCGCATTTAATAAAAGCTGGGTACACAAAACAGTTGGATATTTAGGTCCTTCACAAGCTCATTGTAAGGAAACCAATGTACCGTGATTAGTGGTTCTTTATTACGGCGTAATGAAACCGAACCATTTTTGAAGAAGCTGATAACTGGTGATGAAAAGTGGATCATGTATGACAAAAACGTATGAAAAAGGTTGTGGTAAAACGTCTGATAGGCTTCAGACTGTGGTGAAATCTGGGTAAACTCACAACAAGGTGATGCTGTGTGTATGGTGGGATTGGATGGGCATTATTAATTATGAGCTGTTACCCCCGGCAAGACCTCAGACATTTTTTGCTTCTTAGCAAAAATTAAGTGAGTTTGGCTGGGGTGTTAATGCATCCGCCGTATAGTTCACTTTGCACCTTCAGTTTTTCACCCGTTTCGGTCTTTTCAGAATTAATTAGGCAGTGTCAGTTAACTGCCAAAACACATTGTCAGGGTTTTTTAATCATAAGCCCCAAACTTTCTATAGCAATGGGATCATGTCCCAACCTACAAGATGGCAAAAGTCATTGAACTAAATGGTATCTACATACTTTAATTAAATGTAAATAAACGTTTTTTTTAAAAACTTTTGAATTTTCATATAAAATGTGAAGAAACTTTTCCCCCAACCTATTATACCATTTATATATTTTTTTAAGTGAAAATATAATCTTATTATAAGTATGTTTTGTTGCTTACCTATATTGTGCAAATGACTGAAATTGGTACACAAATTCATCAATAAGTTCCCAGAGCCATTGGTCAGGCAGTTCTAGGGGAACAGGGGTCTCCGCAGATAAAATATAATTGAACAAGTCACAATAGTTGTAGAAGGAGGTGAACCTTTGTTCAGGTTTAGGACCACCAGGTACACGAGCATAAATATCTCTATAATATAGCTCTTTGTAGAGTATCATGAAGACCTGTAAGATAAATGTTATCATTACTATTATTTTTAAATAGAAGTACTAATGCCCGGTTTATTATAGTTAATCTATAGTAATCTAACATGTCTTGCAGACTGATGTTGATTGTCAAATTTGTAGAATTAGGGAGTAGTTTAACGATTTGCCAACATTTTTATGCTCCCCAGTTTACCACAATATGTCAAATCAAAAATTAATTTTGAACTGTAACCAGAATGTATTAAGGTTTAAAATAAGGAGAAGGAAATTTCAGTTCAGTTGATAATCAGAATTTGGAATGTGAATATTAAGAATCAAATTATAAACGTGATTTGGATGAAATGCACTAATATGCAAATAATTCACGTTCGATGAATGTGCTTCCTTAGCAGTTACATATCACGTACCCTAATATCCCCTCTTAGATTTAAGTAGTATATAAGACGAATATTGTTTAGTTAATGAGAGATCTACAACCTGAAACATAGTATCATTTCTCCCGACTACGCTGGCGCTATTTCATGGCGACCGTGACCACGATGGTCCGAAGCTACAAAGTAGTGGTGTGTGTTGTGACATGGGACGGAGGTCAAGCTGTAAGTTATTTTCCTACATACTTATAATGGGATAGACAGCAAGTGATTTTCACTCCGAGAAAATTAAATTAACTTCGATAATCAATTGGATATAAAGAAGGTGCAAAAAATTTTTTTAAAAGAAGTCATTGAAGAAACTGAAATGGTTGCAATACAAAAAGTAATAAAATGATAACGAAGAAGAAATGGCGGATAACCGAAGAAAAAAATATGTAAGAAGAATCTGATACTCAAGACTGTAAGAAGCCAAAATGTGAAGCTTGGTTATAGAAGAAGGAAAATAGGAAGTGTTAATGGTGTCGGAAGAGCAATTGATTATTATTCGTATATTATATTTCATAGGTAAAAATGTAAGTATTTCGTATCGTTACTTTAATAATTGTTATAAAAATGCTACGTAATGTGTAAGTTTGTAGAAGTGTAATTTTTTTTAAATAATGGAGCGGTTTGACTTGCTTACGGCTGTAGAATTATTACCTATAATTTCGGGACAAGAAGAAGTTACACTATCTTTGATAGATAATATTGAGTACTATAGTAGCGTTATTGATGAAAATTCGCAACAATTATTGATAAATTTTGTCCTGAAAACTAGATTGTCATCAGTAGAAAAGTTTTATTTAAAGTCGAATTATGATAACGTTGATAGTTTGATTATTGACATGAAAAGATGTCTTCTGCCGGAAAAATGTCCAACCAATATACAAATAAAATTAATTAATTCTAGGCAAGGAAATAGGTCTATTAAAGCGTATGGTTCAGAGATAGATAAATTATTATACGAGTTAACGTTAGCACAGTCGGAAAATGATAAAACGAAATATAAAATACTGCATCCTATAAATGAAAAGTTAGCTATTAGATGTTTTTCAGCCGGACTGAATAATAGTCGTATTAGTTTAATAGTAATTGCTAGAAATTTTAAATATTTAAAAGATGCGATACAAGCAGCGTTAGATGAGAATAGTATTTTATATAGTAGCAATAATAATGTGTTTAAATCGAGTAGTTATTCTCAAGGTATAAAGAATAATAAAGTTATGAATCATTTAAATGAATCGCAAAAGCAAACTAAGTCAGTTATAGATTTTAGAGTTTCATGTGATAAGCAAACTCACTATGTAGCTGAAGAGAGCAGCTCTTCATGCAAGTCTTTTACAGACTTAGATAATTTGATCAAGTGTGATAGAAGTTTAAAGTCGGATGAAGAGATTTTTCATATAGATGAGAACTATTTTGATATAGCAAATAGAAATATTTTTTCTTTGGAGGATATTAAGACAAAACCAAATAAAAATAAAAGTAAAATCGAGAATTTTAAAGTAGGCAAGAAATGTGCGCCTGTAGAACAGTTTAATGAAAAAACGAGTTATTATGTAGATATATGCATCAAGGATTTATTTGATAAGGACATTAAGGATAAAAAATGTATTTTTTCTAGAAAAGGACTATGTGTTTATGTACCAATAAAATCAGCCATGTTTATTAAAACCTCGTCGCTTTTCGAAGGGAAAAGATTTATTAAAGATTTTGAGGTATTTTGTCGAGATATAAATGTTAAAGGCTTGATTATTGATGAGAAATGGTTTGCGAATTTGCAGAATCTAATAAATAAATATAAAGTGGCCCTACCAAACTTAATAGTGAAATGTCCGAGAGAAATTATTAATAGAAATTATTATAACAGTAAATGTGAAGAAAGTTATAACGAAAGTATAATAAATAAAACCGAAAATAATTCGGATGATTTTATTGAATTCCCGGAAGGTAAAAATATAGACATAAAAGGGAATTATTTCGAACAAATGTTTGTAGATGAAAGATACGATAGAAATGCAATAGGCATTACTTAGAAATAGATAGTTTAATATTTGATTAATTAATGATTTTGATAATAAGTGATTTGGGTTTAATATTTTGATTAATTAGAAATTGTTATGGTAATTGGTAATTAAATGTCAAAAATATGTTTATATAAAACTTACAACATTATAAAATCGATAAACTATAAGTTATGTAATATTTTCATATGTCAGCAAGGTCGCGGTAGTGAACATGATTTAATTCCAAAGTCAGCGTAATAATTGTGTACGCGCATAAATGTTAATTTAATTGTTAACTGTCGAAAGTCAATGTTCTTTCAAAGTTTGTTATTGTTTATCTAATGATAAGAATATGATTTTTCTGTTGAAATTGTTATTTATAAAATCGGGATTCTTTACTAACGGAGGCGCGCCAAGACGCAACGATAGGAGAATTAACCGAGTATGTTATACAAGAATATGGTAGTTTAATGTATTTTGCTATAGATTTTTTATGAAGTGAGCTGAATGATTTTTTAAATTAATTGAAGTTTATATAAATATTAAATGTGTGTTCCTGTTAAGTTTCTTAATTATAGTGATACGTGAAAAGTTGTGTAATAGTAGTTTTAAACTAAGAAGGATCTTTTCAGGGGAGGGACACCTAACCTTTTCAGGGGAGGTGTAGTATGTGAATATTAAGAATCAGTTTAAACGTGATCTCGATGGAATGCACTAATATGCAAATAATTCACGTTCGATAAATGTGCTTCCTTAGCAGTTACATGTCACGTACCTTAATATCCCCCTCTTAGATTTAAGTAGTATATAAGACGAATATTGTTTAGTTATCTACAATATAGAGAGATCTACAACCTGAAACATAGTATCATTTCTCCCGAGTTAATAATCAAAATGTAACTGTAAATAACCCAAATGGTGAATGGGTTGCTAATAAATTTAATTTCAGTATTTTCATAATTGGATAACAGAAATGTTACAGAATCAAATGTGTTAAATAATAATAACCTATTACAGTTTTCTTTTAGTTTTTGCATGTTCAATTGATATTTATGATTTTATTCCTTGTTCTGAGTAAATATAATTACCTAATTCTTTAAAATATGTTTAACACATCTTCAGATAACTTAGGTCATTGAAACAAAATATGCTACAGTTCATTGTCGGTTGTAATCAATAACATTTTAGAAAGATCACATATTTGATTAAAGGGATATTTTAGTGTCCCACAAATGACATGAAAATAAAACTTACTAATATGAAAAATCCTTTATCATAAGCAAATACCGTTATCTACTGTTTCAGGAATTTAATGCAATTATTTCCACATTGAAACTGTTAGATTATTTACCCTAATCAAAATGAATTACTTAAAAAAACTTGGGTTAACCGTTTAATGCATATTAACAGTTTCAATTAATAACCCTTTTAATTCAGCTAAGACTATATACTGTTTACTATTTCATTTCGGTTTAAACAAAAACACTTTTAATCTGTTAACTGAATCAATCTGCTACCATTTCAAATGGTAAGCAAAACGTAAAATAATCAAATGGTTACAGTTACTGATTCAACTGTTATAAGCTGTTATGGTTATGAATGGGTTTTCTGTTCCCTGATTACCATAGTTCCACTGTATCCCCAATTTAACTTATGATAAAATCTTTAACAATTTTTCAAATTGGAATGATTTTTTATAAGCTTTTACATTATAAATGTTTATCAGTGAAGTCAAGTTGATCAAATATAATAGAAATTTTTTCTAATTTAGACATTATTAGAGTATAGAGGCAGGATTAAATATCATCAGCTATCACCACCTCCTTTCATTGAGTGAAATCTAAAATAAACACATTGTTTCATACTTACATGGTCATTATCAACTACAGGAGCTACTTCATTCTCATCAGGCCAAGGAGTATTCTCAAAATACTGTTCAGTTAGTTTTGGAAAAGTATTCTCATATAAATTTAAGATCTCATATGTCACTCCCTCATTTATCATGTTTCGGAAATATACAAGGAATTTCTTCACCTGGAAATCACAATCTTAGATTAAGCTACTGTCAAGCAACTAAAAATTATTCACATTAAAAAAATCACATACCATATCAGGCATCTTATAATAAGACCTATCATATTCTAGGTCATATTGTGGATCTCCTGTATGTGGCTCATAGTCACCATATGATTCGTATCCTCCCTATTGATAAAGTTAATACATTAATCATCAGTGCGTTAATTTACTTACTACTTTTTAGTTTTTTTGAGGTTATCTTATAATATATTTTGTGAGAATGATTAATTTGTAAATTAAGAATCTTACCTCATTGTAATCGTCACTGGAATACATTGTTGACGAAAATTATACCAGATAGCAGCAGCTATCGTTTATTTAAATCTATTCAATTAGAAAAATTTTGCAACTCGCAAAGTACCTCAAACTTAGAACTCGATTTTTTTTTACTTTACAGTGCCATCTATGTGCCAGCTTTTAAAATAGAAATCATGGTGTAGCCACAATAAATAAATGTGTTTATAATTGGGGATAATTTTTAAAGGCATCATTAATAAATCTTGTTTATTATTACTTGAAACTTAGTTAATAAGCCTTATGATACCTAATATTATTGAAATAATATATCTTGTTACAGAATAGTAATAATATAGTAATTATAGAATTGTCACTAGAAATGTTTCTAATTTAAGTGGTAGTATTAAATATACTATGGCAATATCAATTGAAAATGGCGCGTATGTAATGGTTTGGTATTGTGGGTAAACTTTAAAACTAACTTCGCAAATGGAAAATGTATTGAGTGAATGTCCGTGTGCTTGTTAGTTTTTGCAAGTTCCTGTAACATTTTCTGCTTTTCACGTTGAGTTGATTAAGTTCGTCCGTGTAATCGAAATATATTGTGTTAGTATTGTTAGTATTGTGTCTTGAAATATCCCGTACCGAAATGTTACTTGTTTTTAATTTGAACTTTGCTCAAAAAATCATGGCTCAAAACCGTTGTTGTGTACTTTAATGTTCAGTGACTAAGGATAGCGGTAAGTGCTTTTTAGTTTGTACAATAAATACTTTATGAATTGTACTATAATGTCAAAGTTTTCAACCGATTTTTATACCTATACGCTCAGACCAAATTTTTTATTTGGTCTGAGCCTACATGTGGAGTTTCATAATTCAAATGTTTTTCAGGTATTTTTCTTTGAGCTATCGTAGAATACAATATTCATTAAAAACTTATTATGTGCCTACAATTTAAGAATTGTTATTTGTTCATCCATTATACAAATAATTAAGGACTAATAATTTGTTGTGTGAATAGCAGAGAATAATACATATTATTATGTTACTCAGGTATCCCTTTGCACCGGTTTCCTGACCCTAGAACTAAAACAGAGAAATTTAAAAAATGGCTAGACAATGTTGGTGGAGAAATAACTCATCTGGATCCAATCAAAATATATAATAACATGCATATTTGTGGAAAACATTTTCTAGATATTTATAAATATCCCAAGAATAGACTGCAACATAGCAATGCCTACACTTCATATATCAGGTAATGTATTATTTATAAATAATACTGCATATTGAATGTCTACCTATCTATTTAAAGATGGAAGCAGCAGGCTATGCATTAAAATTCATTCATATGTGATTAACAATAACCAGTGAATAATTTTTCAAACTATAAAAAGTTTAAAGTAAAAATGAAATAGTAGAAAATGAATACGTTTTCTATAAGCTGAGTTCTTATAAAAAACATTATGTATTTTAATGTGGTTTTCATCAATATATAGAGTGGTACAAGAGGAAGGTTTATATGTACAATATAAGACCTTGTGGGCGAAAGCTAGTTTCTTATACCATTGTTCAAATAATGCTCCTAATTTCCATGTTAATTTTTAATGTTTATTATAAAATAAAATATTATAAAATGTTTTTTTCTTCATGTTCAGCGCAATCAACTGGAGAACCTCACATAGTTGCAAGTGCGGATTTGCCATGTACCTCACATTTTGTACCTTCTCAACTACATGCCGGCACATCAGGTTGGTAAACGTTTTTCTGATGAAAATTTAAATAGTTAAATAATCATCTTAAATATAATATTATTTTTTATATAAAGGAAAATTCATGAGTCAATATATAGTTATACAAAAATTGAATGTCCCTTAGTGCAAAATTGCAAATCTATGTTGTGTAACATAGGCCAATCTTTAATATTTTGAGCCAGAGACTGATAAGCCAATGATATCCACGAAATAACTATATTTGTTATTATTTCCAGGTCAGCATACAAACCTTGGAAAGACACAAACACCTGTTGCCAAACAACAGTTGCCAAGAAAATTAAAAGGTATGTTTTGCAAAAATATATCTCAATTATCCAATTTGAAAATTGCTGCATGAAATTGGAAACAATCTGCAAATCTGAAAAATATGCTAAAAAAGAAACTATTTATTTTTGAGGCTTTAATTTAGATTTCATGAAATTTGTTGCAGGTGTTTCTCTAAAAGACCATAAACAAAATAAAATAATTGTGAATAAATTGAAAAAATGAGAAGCTCAAAAAAGGAGCTTTAAACAAAAATTGGCTCTTGCTAAATCTTTAATGAAACCTCTGCTTTCCAAATAATTTCCAAAAATATGTCACCTACTGCAAAATTATTTTGCCGAATGCAAATGTCACATGGAAATAAGAAAAAGCAAGGGCATCGATTTACCATTGATGAAAAGACTTTAGCGCTATCATTATACAAACCTGCACCTAAGGCGTATCGTCTGTTAAGAAAATTTTATATTTTACCTAGTAGACAAACATTGCAGACTTTGTTGTATAAAGTCCAGTTAAAGGCAGGCATAAATGAAATTTTATTTGACAACCTAAAATCCAGAGTTAGGAGAATGCCAGATAAATTTAAATACTGCACCTTGGTATTTGACGAAATGGCAATAGCACCAAGCATCAGCTTTAATAAAAAAAAAAATATCACGGGATTTGTTGATAATGGAGCAATGAAGCAAATAGTACAGTAACCATGTACTTGTTTTCTTAATTAGAGGCGTTGCTAAAAAATATAAACAGCCACTGGCCTATTATTTTTGCAGTGGCAGTACAAGAACTTAAAGCTTAAAGCTTTGGAACTTAAAGCTTTAATAAAGAATATGATTATTAAAATTGCAGAAACTGGTCTTACGGTGGTAGCAGCATTATGTGACCAAACTACATCAAATATTGCTGATATAAACTTGTTGTTAAAAGAGACTAACGAAATGTTTTTGAGAAGAGGGCAGCACTATACAGAAGGATTTTTCGAAGTTGGAGACAAAAAGTATTTTCACTCTATGACCCACCTCATTTAATAAAAGGGATCAGGTATAATTTGTTAACAAAAAATTTAAAATATAACATGAATGGAAAGGAATGTACTGCTAAGTGGAATCACATTCTACAATTATATGAAAGATGCCCAGGCTACAAAGGAGTGAAGATGGTACCTAAGTTGACAGCTCATCATGTAGTGCCATCATTATTACTAAAAATGAGCGTGAAACACTGCACTTAGGTGTTAAGTAAAACTGTTGGAGCTGCTATTGGAGTAATGACAGGTGATATTTTTTAATATTATTATGAGAGTAGCTTGGTGGCGTAGTAGATAAGCGCCGCGGCCCGCGATCGTTGTCGTTAAGCAACTTTCGCAAGGGTCGGTCATGGGATGGGTGACCAAAAAATTATTATCTCGAGTTACTCCATGCTTCGGAAGGCACGTTAAGCCGTTGGTCCCGGCTGCATTTACAGTCGTCAATTCACTCCAATCCGCATTGGGTCAGCGTGGAGGGTCATGGCCCATCCTCCTTAACCATCCACAAGGAAAGCCTGAGCCCCTGCAGTGGGGACGTAAAAGGGCTGATGATGATGATTATTATTATTATGAAATTTTAGAGTCCATATGTTTTATTATATATTTGAGAGCAGATTTATTATAGAAATTTTTTCTGGTATACATAGTACATACATACTATAAACTAAAAACTTATATTTTCCATTACAAACCTAAACAAACATTATATTTTCATTGCAGAGTTTGGAGTTCTTGAAAAAGAATGCACTGAAACTGCAGACCTGTTGATGTTTTTTGATGACTTATTCGACAGTGTCAATGGCAGCTTTAGCAAACCAAAAGGGAGGAAAACGTATAGGACCGCAGTGACACCAACATCCCCTGATCATAAATTATGGAACAAAAGCCTTCCAGTTTTAAGGAGCATGAGGTTTCATAATGGAATTAATCATGGGATAGTTCCATCGTTGTCCAGCTGGATAAAAACAGTAGAAAACTTCAAAAGAATTTTAATTTATTTGAATTCAAAAGGCATAAATTCATTATTGCTATGAAATTTCAACCAAGACGCATTGGAGAAATTTTTTGGGGCAATAAGGGCTCATGCCTGCAGCAATACGATGCCTACAGCACAATCTTTTGAGGGGGCCTTTAAAACATTGCTTATTGACAATATTTTTTCTTCACATTCAGTGGGATCAAATTGCGAAATGGATGATAGCGTTTGTCTGCAAACACTAAAAGAACTATTGACTAAAGACGTAGATGATATACCCACTGAATGTGAAGTTGAAATTGAAAATGATCATTTATGCATTGATTTAATCAATACAGAAAGTTTAATAAGTAGAAAAATCCGCAGCAATTGGATACTGTAGTGGCTGGATAGCACAATTAGCAAAGAAAAAATTTTATATAAGCTGTTTATTATGTAAAATCAACATAGAAGCTAAAGAAAAGCAGATATTTCATACTTATATAATTTTAAAAGAGTTTGAAAACAAAAGCTGGTTGTGCTATCCTACCCGAAACCTATTTGTATGTTGCCAATGCTGAAAACAATAGAATTTTTAAAAGAAAATTGCAATAAAAAAAATATTTTGTCATATATAAAGTTAATCATAAAGATTAATTTAGATTTAAATTTTTTACAATGCACGGAACACCAAATTCAACTAAAAGAATTCATAACAGAGAAATGTGCAGTATTTTTTATTAATAATTGGTGCAAAAATATCAATCATTTAATCAATGGCAAAATTTTATTTTGGGATAGAAATGATGAAATGAAGGTAATGGCTCATAACCATTTTTCAAAAAATAAAGGTAGGAAGAGAAAAACTGTGTGTGGATCACTGATGAATGTCTGAAATAAGATGGTTAATAAAGCTACAAAAATAACAAGTCTTTCATTGAAATAAACTAATTGATTTATTTTACTCGCTCTAAACATTTATAATAGTTAGCATTGAACATAAACCATATAAATATGACTCCTGATATACTTGTTTAATCATAGCAAATAAAACGAAAAATAATCTGCGGTCTTACATTATGTTTTATATTTAAGGTTTAATTAGCCAAGTGTTTTTTTTTTCGATAAGTTATAAAGGTACATTTGCTTTTTTTATATATGTATTGATTCTCAAAATGAATAATAACTATTAAACATTTTTAGAATCAATCTATATAAAAGAAAAAATATACCTATTTATCTTATCAAAAAAAAAACATCAAATAAACCTGGCTGTAGCTAGCTACACACATATACACGCACACATACGCGTGACTTTTTTTAGCTGGCGGATAGATGGCGCTGTAATCGTGACCTATTTAAAGTTTGAGTTTGCTATCTATTACCAGTATAATATTGACCTACACAACACCTTGACACCGTGACAACTAGGTCTGCGACGTACAGACTTAGTAGGTATCAGCGACGTATTAACTGGAATAAGTCTTTGGAATAAGTTTTTGCTTGAACATCTAAATACTAAGTGTAATAAGCAATCAACACGTATCGAGTATTTAGAAGTATCGACTTACTCGGTACTCACACAAATCCCGAGACTCGGAGACGCGGACGCAGACTCAGGCGTCCAACGCATTTCGAATACTTAGAAGTCTCGTACTCACACAAACTCGGAGACGCCGAGACGCGAAGGCGCGGACGCAGATTGCTAGTTTATACCTATAGATTGAAAAGGAAGGGATAGGCAATCGGTACCTTAATAACTATTGTTATTTCATTGTCAGCGTAAAAATAATCTAATTTAAGACCTATATTACATCTCAACTGTGATTTCTGTGTGATTTTTCTCGGAAACTAAAATAAATTAACAATTTTGACTTGTTGAATAGTGAAGAATAAGTCTTAGTATAGAAATAAGTGGCCTAACTTTTTGGAAATTTTGCTCATCTTTTTAATTAAACCCAAAATACCAGAGAAAGATTTTCATAAAATGCGCAAAGACACTTTTTTTGAGCTCCTGGATTGAGCTGCTGTTCTTAACAAACGAAATAAAAGAAATAGAATGATATCTCTTATATAGTCGTAAAGTAAACAGAAATAGCACTGATTAAATATGGAAAAACAATCATATTATAAACCAAAAAACATAAAAAATTGCTTGAAGTTAACTTTGAATTTCTCTTAGCCACAACAATATTATTTAACAAAATTTATGCCAGATTAATGACTATTTCATAAGAAACAAAGAAATTATAATTTTAAAGCATCAATTTACATTATTTCAATAAATACGATAAATATAAACGCAAAATCACTACGAAATACGATGCAGTGGCCGTCTGAGCTCAGTACCGCGCGAGCGCTCCTCAACGTTAGACCTGTGTCGCATTACTTCGCGCCATTTTCGATCTAGATATGTTCGAGCGAGCGTTAATAGAGCAGTATAGTGGGACTTCCAACTTTGATCACGAAGTTCGATTTATATGGAATTTATATAGCTTGATGAATTATTTTTAATAAACATTTGTTATTTTCAGCATGGGTCGAAAGACCTCTAGGTATATTTGTATAAGAAAGTTAAAATATATATTTATATTAAGAAACGCAAATAAAGCAAGGTACTTCTTCTCTCAATACACTTAGGTTACTTTCCATTCGCATAAAGTCGCGGGCATAACTAGTTTAATATAATTCTAATTTACTACTTTTCAAAACAGGAAACAGTCCCTGTTTCAGAATGGATCATGCCAAGAAAAAAAAACATGTTTCCTATAGATGACGAAAATATTCCGAAATCGTCGACGAAGAATATGGCACGAATATTTTTTAATTAATATTTATAGATATATTATCATCACTTTTTATATGATATAGCCTATGATTTGGCTAAACTTGTTTCTTTTAATTTTTGTTCGATCTTAGCAGTCGTGTTTATAATTTTTACATTATTTATTTATATTTTATTCCTTTTAGTGAGCAGCTCATTATGTATATAGATTATATATTTTTAATGGACCTTTAATTTGATACCCATAAAGTTATGATAAAAAAACATACTTTTTTAAATGGCGTCACACGTCCCCATACCTATTTAATATTAATAAATAAAGCAAGTGTTACTGATACTCTATGTATTTTTTGGTAACTTAGGATGATGTTTCTAATGATACCCTATACATTCATATCCGTTATATCTTTCAAAAGTTATGGTGCAATAAAAAAACTCACAAACATACATTAATTCTAAAAACAATAGACTCCTTTTCGAGAGCAGTCGTGTTAAAATATTTGGGAGTCGATAATGAATCTCACCGTAGAAATATTTAAAAAATACAAAAATTGGGAAAAGTATCAAAATAGCTTGGTCGTAGTTTCAACACAGTATTGTGGACTCGTGACCTTGAACAAGTTGTCGAGAACTCGGAACGCTTCAAAATACAAAAGTACAAAAGGTTCCATTACCCACTCGAATATCATGTTTACTACTATATCCATGTGTATATTATAGTATCTTATCTTCTTTCATTAATTTAAATAATATCAAAATATAACAATGTCCATACATTTTAATTAACCAATTATCTATTTACAATTATTCTTAAACTAGCAACTTATTTGATCCACTATTTGTATTCGCGTAAATATGTTTTCTATTTGATGAGATTGTTTCCTTACCTCGACACTGGCAAATTGTTCACACATTATTGCCATACAGCAAAAAAAAAAAAAAACTTAGGGCGCTTGTGCACTACACTGAATTTTCATGTCCGGCGGTCCGATTTTTTCAGGTCCGATATGTCAGGCCATATATAGGTAATGCTAGCCTGTGCACTGTCAGGAATATTACCGTCCGGGATTTTACTTTTCTCTATTCCGGACCGGTTTTTTCAGGTCCGAGATGGCGGCAATGAAAAACGTGTTTACGCTTGTGCACTGCTGTGTCCGCGATCCGGAAAATTCATAAGGAATAGGCTTGAGAAAAAATAATCGATATTTATTTTGGCGAAATTGTTAATTTCCAATAAACTTATAATCGATATTTATTGTAGATTATAAAATACTATATTTTATATGATGATTTAATATAGTTGGTAAATATCACTGCATATGCTTTGGCAAACTCGATATAGTTCTAATTTGATCAGCGTATGGTTCTAGTATCGATACTTAGCTAGATTTTAGAATCGTATTAATAGTATCGATAACTTAAGATAAAATAAATAAGTGTTGTTACGCTTAGACGCCTAAACAACTGAACCCATCTTAACGGAAATTAATAAAGTAAATAAACTGAACTTTAAGAAAGGCTATAGATTACATTTTATCGCGAAAAATAGGGGATGAAAGTGGAAATTTGTCATTATCAAATTTTTTTAGACAATTGATAAGTATAGATAAATATTTGATAACAGAAGTAATAATAAAGAATAAACAGATGATTAACAGAATTAACTAAGTGACACTCAATGTCTTTTTCGCATTTAAGTCTATATTGTAATAAAATTTGAAATGACTGTTTATGTCATAAATAAATTAAAAAAAAAAGTATTCTAAGGGAAAAATATTTCTGCTCAAAGAAACTACACCACGCGTATAAAATTATACCTATATATAATACAGTCAACTGATCTCGTAAACTCCATTTAGCATATTAATTCTCCGCTTACACGGCACTAATTTCGATTTGTTTACGAAATGACGCCACCGATTGGTCTATCTCTGTAATCGCTTTAAGTTGTTTTTACAAAACTTCGAAAAAAAAAATAGTACATTTATAAATTTAAAAATCAAGTACTAACCCATTATCAGTAATTTTATTCTAATGTCACAGATATTTTTAACTATTGTATGTAAATAATGCTGTTTCTAAATTAGTAAAGGTATAAGTTTTTACATCTGATAGTGGTCATCCGATAGTAGTAAAAAAAATGCTTTCGTAGGTACCTTTCTACGTCTTCAAACGTAATTACCGACATTCCAAAAATCTCATCGTGCCTAGCGTAAGTGACGTGTAGCTTGAAAGGGAGCTGCCCTACACTGCGCCGCTCCGATCAGGAAAAAAACGGACAAGTGCACAAGCTACTCATCTGGGTCTTTCATGTCATTCCGGACCGGAAAAAATCGGACCGCCGGACCTGAAAATTCAGTGTAGTGCACAAGCGCCCTAAGTCTCTGTCTACGACTTTAATGCATGGACTGACATGGGTCTGACTGGTCTGACTCAGCTGTTAGCCATAGAGAAAAAAAATACTGTCAGTTTTTGATATTTTACCTTCATTTTCTTTTCCATATATTACTCTTTGTTCTTTTCCCTGCGATTTGCTTTACTTGAAAGAGCCTTGAACTTTCTTAAAATTTAAAAATACTCAATAAAAAATGTTTACGAAAAATTTATCAACTATGATTACACGTAATGCTTCAACAGTTTTCAGAAACCAAGATATTATACGAAATTTTTCGATATCATCAGTCAAACGTGACATTGTGAAAATCCAAAGCACTGAAGATTTTAAAGCTAAAGTTATAAACAGTAAAGTTCCAGTCGTCGTCGATTTTTTTGCAACGTAAGTGTGATTTTGAGTAGATATGATAAAAAGGGAATTTTATTTCACCTTGAAATTTATAATATGAGTCTGAATAATTTCGAACTTATCTATGTTATTTAGTAGATGAAAAAGAATTGAATAATAAAAATTCACATTATATAATAATAATGACCCTATCTTTATGACAGTAAGATTATATTTTATGACTCAAGCTCTTTATACTTGTTTATTATTGCCTTTGTTTTTAAAGTATTAATATTTGAGACAACACAAGTACAGAAGAAATATATTTCAGATGGTGCAATCCATGTAGGCTTTTGACTCCTCGTTTGGAATCGATTATCAGTGAGAATAAAGGGAAAATAGTTTTAGCTAAAGTTGATATTGATGAACAAACTGACTTGGCTCTGGACTATGAAGTTAGCTCTGTGCCTGTATTGGTTATTATCAAAGATGGAAAAGTACAGCAACGCTTAGTTGGTTTACAAGATACTGACAAATTACGCAAGTGGATAGAACAACATACAATTGAGGAAACTAAAGCAGAAATAAAAGCTTAAATTATTTAATGTGCTCGGGAGTACAATATGTTTAATGAAAGTATTGTTACTGTAAATTTGTAGTTGGTAAAAATAAAAGTATAAGAGTAGTTTAAACTTTATTCTTGCAAAAATTGTATCAAGTCCCTAGCTCTCTTGTATACTGCTTCAGATGGTTTTTTTAGCTCATTCTCAGTCACTTCATTTTCTTCTTCATTTTTGTCTACACTTGTTTGTGATTCTGTCCAGTCATCCATCTGTTTAATAATCTTGTTTGCATCATCTAACAACATATTCCTAATATTGCCTTTTGCAGATTCAAAATATTCTAAAAGTAAAGACCATGATTCTTTTGGTACTAAATTTTCGGAAAATTTATTCTTATACAGCCAAACCTGTTTGGCTTTCATAAATTTCCAATTTTGTCGATGGTATTTCCACTGAGATAGGTAATTTAAACATTCTGATTTTGTTTGTTCCTTGGCTGCAGCTAAACTTTCTGCTTGACGTTGTGCAAACTTTTCTCTCTTGATTTGTCTAATCGATTTATTTTTATTGGACTGAACTGTAGAATTGTCTGGTTTATTCTTCTTTTTTTTCTTTTTCTTAGGTCCTTTATTATCTTCATCTTCAATTTCCAAACCTTCAGCATCTGCAGATACGTCTTTTGTATCATAAACTCTTTTTTTCTGAACTGTAGAATTGTCCGATTTATTCTTCTTCTTTTTTTTGGATCCATTATTATCTTGATCTTCATCTTCTATTTCCAAGCCTCCAACTTCTACAGATACTTCTTTTTTATCATCTAACATTTTCGAATGTCTCTTTTTTCGTTTTTTTATATTACTTTCTCCTACCATTATAATTTATGACCTGTATTGAAAAATATAACCCAAAACACAAAGATAACCTATAATCTCGAATCTTTCGGTCACATTACACAGTTTAATTAACTAGTGATGAGTCGAGTCATTAACTCGAGTTGGGTGCAACTCTAGTTTGAAAACTCCCTTTCGCCATACTAATAGTATAAAATAGTGATGAGTACAGATCACTGTGATGAGTTTTGACAAAATGAGGGAGTACTCAATTTTCATCTTTGAAGCACCTCATTTAGCTCTTCAGTTGATATGCCTGGCTCAAAAGAATAGTGAATAATATAAATCGTTAAAAGTAAGGCGAAACGAATAAAAAAAATTGAAAACTTAATGAGGAAGTATTTAAAAAATATATATTAGTTCCAGAATTCAAACAAGATGTCACTACAGTACTTTCTTGATTTCTCTATGACAACCCCTTCCGATTTTCTTTTTATGTATAAAAGTAAATTAGTTTTCAAAACGTAATAAACAATTCATATTCTATTTGTACTTTTTCGTATTTGCATTGATATGTAAGTTTCGAACTTTGCGAATTTCAGTTTTTTAATGTGTTAGTTAAAAGGAACGGAAATGATTATCGTTGGGCCAAACGTTTCCTGCAAACAAAAATAACTTTTGCTAGAGTCGCCATCTAGTGAGATTCTTTTTGAGTGCATTTTTTTTCTTAAATACTTCCTCATTAAAATATAAATAACAGTAAAAAATACTATTCGAATGAAGACAGAAATTAATAACCTAAATTCATATTGCGTAAGAAAATATTTTTGCAATAACTTGTTTTACAACAATATTTAATTATTATAGCTTTCAATATTCGATCATTACAAATGTTAATCTCGGCTCGAGCGGCGATTAGAGGCGCGCGCAAAGCTACCGACTCCCTGGTTCATTTGCCTTACGCCTCGCTACATACTTAATCTTTGCGTTTATTTTATTTTGCTCTACCTCACCTCAGATGAGGGGTACTTCGCGAGTACCTTATGAGGTAAAACGAGGTCCTCACTTATCCTCAATAAAAATGTGTGAATTAGACAACCCTAACATAAAACGAATAACGACAAGGAGCGACCTTTGCCGATTATCGACTATATTCATTAGCTACTAATGTCACAATATTCATATGTCTTCACCGAACCCGATTATGACACTTGATTTTGTATTAAACAACTGTTACAATTTCTTGATTCGTAGCCATTAGCACAGAATATATATAATAGAAGACAATCAACATACAAAGTGCGCTCGAACAACGCACATATAGACCATGCTCAAGGAAACGATATTTTGGACCATTTCGAACCAGTACGAGCGCGAGTGCCGTCAGCTTTAGATATGCGTCTGTGTACATTTTAACGAAATAAAAAACACAAAAAGTGTTATTATACTCGATGACGGTTGGCCCACAGAGCTCTGTAAAGAATTTATTTATGTATAATAGTTTCTCTTCAGAAATTGCCAGAGACAGAACAAGGGGCAGGTCTATTTTCGCTGTTGTGATTTGTCACTGTTTAAAAAATAACGTGACATAAAAGGGAATATTATGTGATATAATTAAAAACATAACATTATGGATATGGTCAGTTATCGTTAACAAATTTTAATGTAAATAATATTAAGGTTCTTTCGTCACAGTCACCTTTTAGTTAACCCTGTAATGGTTATGATATGAGCTCGTATTACAGTTTATTACTTTTTGTCATTTCATTGCATTAAAAAAAAACATTAGTTCCCGAAATCAAACTAGATGTCACTACCGTACGTTCTTGATTTCTCCATGACAACCTTTCCGGTTTTCTATCAAGTTTAAAAGTAAATTAGTTTTCAAAACCCAATAAACAACTCATATTCTATTTGTGCTTTTTCGTATTCGTATTGATATCTAAGTTTCGAACTTTTCAAATTTCAGTCTTTTAATATGTTAGTTAAAAGGAACAGAAATGACTTTTTTTGGTCCATTTGTTTCCTGCAAAAATCAACTTTTGTTAAAGTTGCCATCTAGTGGAGGTGCTTTATTAGTGCTTTCGTTTTTTTTAAATACTTCCAAATTTATTCGATTAGATATCTACTTACTAATAATAAAACGCTAAAAACCTTGTTATGATATTTCGAAATTTCCTAATTTTTGTTGAAGGCAAAATGACTTATTTAAAAAAAAATGAAAATGAAGAGATCGCGTTTACTTTTACAAAAAATAAAATAAAGAAAATTGTCAATATTATTATTAGATTATTACAGTATTCATAAGTTATTATTTTCCGATTTCCAACTATATTCTACTGTTTTCAACCATGCAAGACGACGAGTTATAGCTGGTTAGCAGAATCTAATGCGGTCGTGTCAATCTTCATGAAAAAATTCGTGAAAGAATTATCAAAACAGATAGGCATATGACCAACATATGACCTACCATGAGATCCGGTCATCTTTCCGATCATTCATTTGTAAAAAATGTTTTGAGGTTATAAAAGCTGTTAAAACTCGAGATATTTGTAGTTACTTTAAAAACTAGTGCATTAAAATCATAGCTTTTTATAGTTTGATTCGTAAATATGGTAATAAATCAATATATATATAATTTGCACCATATTACAAAATTTACTGATTCTTACGAAATTTTCTATTGCTTCTTACTAATTCCGTCTGGCAATGGCAACACTGACCCACAACAAAACGTAAATTTTAGGCACGTCACAGCCGCGTCATCATGTCTCCGTGTCTGCTTTTATCACTTATAAGTTAATTTGTTGAGCATTATCAAATCTTATCGGTACTTTTTATGTGAACTTTTAATTTTAAATTTATAGGAATACACCTTCACGATGGAATTACTATCGCAAGTGTCCAACACACAATTTCTTTTCCCTATCGCAGCAGTAGCTGTTGTTTTAGTGTGTGCTGCGTTAGTTTTTGTCTTCGGATTCCATTCGGCGGAACAGCCACAATTCGATAAGTTGCCGTTAGTTGTAGACGATAGAAAATCGTCAAACAAGAAGAGAAAAACAAAGGACAAGGTCAGTCAAAACAACATTGTACTGGTTGTGCCCGACATTGTATTCATTGGGCTAATTTTATTTTTAACCTAAGCATATGCTCGTATTTACCGGGTGATGTTACTTAAATGCCGTCGGAATAATCAAAATGTACGTTTCATAATAGTGTCCTATTGATGTACGCATTCATAATTTTTATAAGTCACTGAATTAGAGAAATATTTTTTTTCAATTGGTTTAATTTTTCTCATATTCAGTAGCGTGGTGCATTGCAACAATGTATTAAAAAATTAATATTTATATTTTCTTACAGAAATCTTCACCCAACCGTCCTACAAATGAGGATGTGAAGTCTAAGTCTGAAGCCTCTAAAAAGTCACCTTTGAAGGAGAAAAAAGAGGAAAAAGTGAAAGAAACAGATAAACCAAAACCCAAGGAGAAATCAGAGCCTAAATTGGTAAAGAAAGAGACAGCAGGAGAAGCAAAAAAGACTAAAAAACCCAAGTCCAATGTTGAGGTTGAGAAGCCTGCAGATTTTGATGAAGGTGTTTGGGAGGAGGTGCCAAAGAAGAGTGACAAAAAGAAAGTGAAAAGTCCTGAAGAAAAAGAGAAGGAAAAGAAGAAAGAGAGCCCTGCTAAGAAGAATAAGAAAGTGGTTAAGGATGATGTAGAAGCTGCTCAGTCTCAACAAGAAGAGGCTGTTGAAGAGTCCGTTAAGTTGGTGAAAGCCGAAGGGCCTCAACTTGATGAGGAATCTACACGTGCCTTGCAAGCTCAAGTGGAAGAGTTCCAGCGAGTGTTGAAAGAGGTATTTGCATAAATATTTTAATGAATAACAGGGTAAAAAGTTGAAAAACTGCAATTCAATATGTTTATCACAAAGTTTTAAAATATATAGTAAATTGTTATTTAGTCTATGTAATTTTGTGCATAAATACCAACATTTATAAAAATTTGGTAATTGATTGCATTATAACTAGGCTGAACTACGTGAGCAGGCTGCCCTTGGTGGTGCAGATGATGAACTAGTAGCTGATGAAGAACTTCCAGATGTTAAAGATTTGAGAAGCAACAAGAAGAAAGAAAATAAAGAGAAACAAAATAAAAAAAAATCTATAGAAGTAAGTTTTCTAGAAGTGTTTTGTAATAATTTATGCAACCCTTTATGTAAAAGTAAAGTATTATTCTTTAATTGTGCTTATAAACTGGATACATCAATGGGTTTTTTCTTAACAGATTGCTGCTGTTGCGAAGAATGCACCCAAACCTGAGCCTGAAGACACTTCCGATGGACTGGCTAACCAAGGAGAAAAGCAGAATGTTCCAGTGTTTGATGAGTTAGGAGGTATAATATTTGCATCAGAGTTTAAAAGGGCTAATAGTCTAAATCTGCTATAAAAGTCATCAAAATGAAAATAATGGTTGTCTTTGATTTAAAAAATCGCAGATATAAGTATAGTATTGATGTGTCAATAATAGTAATATCAAAAAGTGCTTATAGATAAGGACTATTTCACTTTAGATGTGCAAAGATGCATGAAAAATGTTTGTAGAATGCTAGTATTTTATAATGTTTAGCGATCTACATCAATACTGCCATATGAATTTTAATTACATTTAAGTCTAACAGGTTTAATTCCATTTTACTTGGAAATGGAATTATTGTATTTTTTAAACTAACAATAGTATAAAAGATCACTGTAATAGCTAATATTGGATATATAAGACATGATATCTTTATTTGCAGACACTTGGACTGATGCGAAAGTGTCTAAGAAAGGCAAGAAAAAGGCGCGCAAGGATCAGTGAGGGTCGAGTAAGTAAATACAGGGTCCATTTGAGGGCTACGCCCTGTTACTAGCTCAATACCAGTCATACTTCTGATAAAGTTATTGCTTCAGTTTAAAATAAATGCAAACTTTTATCATTATAGCTCATCGGCTTGTTTACAAGTAATCCACAATACCAATTGACATTTTGTTAAATTTAATTTTAGGGTTGTAATTTTACAGGGTGGTGCAATTGCACTATTTTAATGTCATAACTGTTCATTTTCAGTCAATTTACGTCCATGTTTTTAGTTTCATATTTTATTTTTTATTTAGCTAATGTTGACATGTTTTTTTCTTTATAAATTAATTATTGTTTACATAGAAGCATAATATGTTTTGTTTTTTAAGCATTATATGAGTCATAATTTTTTAATTTGTTCCAAGAACATTAATTGACCTTTGGGAATCTGCAATATGTTTGAGTTTTATTATCCTGTTGTACTGAAATGGTGCAATGTTCTAAAACTCTCAATGTTTATTTAAGTTTTATTAATAAATATACATCAGGACCTCACAAGTGATGATAGCATTAGAAACCCAACCCATTATATTATTCAAGATCTTCTGGTGCTTGTAGTTTTTAAGAAGAAAAATCCTTTCATTCCATATGTTTGCATTTTATCATTATTTCTCATTCTACTCACCCATTAACATATATAGTAGTATGCTCATACTACTAAAAACATTTTTGTTTTGAATAATTGTGATTGACCCATGACAGAAATGTGATGAGACCTGAAATTGGACCAATGTGTAAACAGTCACGCACGATATGCTGTTGATTAGTGCTTACTCCTAACTTTCAATAAATTTCATAGTAGATTTATAGATAGATATCATTTTGTTTCTACTTTGTACTAGATTATCTTGATATTAGATTGTAATGTAAATATTTGCCGTCCGACACATTCTTTTTTTGATTCTGTGCAGCTCCTATACAAATGCCATTCGACCTGTCAAAATGAATTCTTTTGTTTGTAAAAAATATTTATGAATATATTTATTCAAATCTTGAATATTATTAAAATTTATTCAAAACTAAAAACGTAAGAGCGTTCCTGTTTTATTGCAGATTCCTATTTTGTATACTTAGATGTAAGAATAAATAATAAAGTCTAGAATAGTACTGTCACCATTCTGTATAAATTTATCATTGAAAATTCTAAATGTCTCAGATTGCATATTATTTATTATGGTAACATTAGGTTAAGAGTGAGAGCTTCAATGTTGATTCAATTTAAATTTTTGTAGCTTCAACTAAATTTTATTTACAAATGATGTGTGCAATATTCAGGATATCAACTGTCAGTTCATTCAATCTACAGCATATCTCTTGTTAGAATGAGATAAAAATACTTGCATAGCTTAACGTGTTAACTGCTGCATCCTCATAGAACGAAAAAATGGCCGCTTTTGAATGACGTTTTATTATTTTTATTAAAATAAAAAAGAGTAAGTACAGTTCTTACGCATGAAATATATTTTTGCTTTTCTCATTGTCAATGTGTAATTTGTGAATGTTTAAACACTCAGGGAGGCATTTTTTCTACAACTTTTCACAGAAAATTACGAGTGAAAATGACATTAGCCACAAACCATCTAAACTTTTCAATACATCATTGACTTTGCTTCATAACATTGCATACATTACGAAGTATTAATTAAAGATACTCTCAAAGATCAATAATAAATATAATGCAAAAACTTTTCTAATGTGTGCCAACAGGATGTAATTTATATAAAAAAAAAACTTATCTCTCCTTTCGAAGATCTTTGTTTTTATCATTATCTCGTATTTTCATATTTAATTCATATTCATCATAGTATCGTACGGCGCCCACTGATAGCACAGCTAGAGATCCTTAGAAAATGTAGAAATAATAACTTCAATGACGAAAATTGCCGAGGTACCTATAATGCAAATAATGTTTTACCTATGCCGTTAACATTAATAATATTTTTTGTGCAATACAGTCATGGGCGTCGGGCCTTAATAATATCACTAAAGTGAATGTATTTGTTTAATTATAGAAGTATAATAATAATTATCAAAGTATAATAATGTATGTACATTTTATCTCTTATGGATTTTACAGATTGTTACGTTGTTATAAAAAAATCCTAAGAGAATGTTTTTTTTTTCTATTTTGATTTGGTTTCTTTAATTTCTGTTTTCTATTTATAATTAAATATCAGTACTTAGGGCCTAAAGTTTTACAAGAGTAAACATTTAGTGAATTCAAAAGGTGAACTAAATCTTATATCAAATTAGGTACCTTTAGATGTAAAACATATTTTTTTGGCTTATATATATTGTTATTAAAGTTGTAGTAACTAGGGACAAACTATGCCGGTGAGAACCAGGTTAGAATATTGCCAACGCATTGAGACATGTATCTTGAGAATTTTGTTTTATAGGCTCTAAATATAATGGATGTATGATATAAATATTTTTTTAAAATCAATAAAGAGTGATAAATTGAAATTGCATTTTGATTGTTTTGCTATGAGTATAGGGCAGAGGTTCCTAAACTTATTTTGTCTACTGCCCACTTTGAGAATAAATAATTTATTAGCGGCCCTTTTTTTTACCTACTTAGAAATCACTACCTAGTGTAGCCATAAGTTCTGTTACAAAAAAATATCCAATTATTTCTAAAATAATAAGTTTAGTTTAAAGTTTTATATGTGATTATGCAGAGTGAAAAAGATATGTTAACGTACTAAACTAGTTATTCAAATTGTCCACCCTTGATTTTTAACGCACGCTTTTAAACGGGCAGGCCATTCATCGATGGATTTACGAACGGTTTCCATTGGAAACTTGGTCACTGCTGCCTCCAAAGATTTCTCGAGCGACGCAATATTTGGGTGACGCTTAGAGCAGACCCGTTGAATCCTGTTGGAATTTCCACAATTCGTTTTTGAATAAGGTGTTGTTGAGAGGTTTAACTACCGCTTCTAACACGGTATCTTGATACACTTTGGCTGAAGTTTTCACTCCTTTTTCGCAAAAATGGAGTTTTGTAACCCCTTTGTAGGGTTAGTTGGATCATCTTGCCCATGATCCAACTTAGGGACCACGGCCTAGGTCTCCCTATTTTGGATCAGGGCCAACGTCGGCGTGATTGGGAACGAGAGGGCGGATGAACTGGCGAAGGGAGCGGCTCTCGGGTTAAAGTGCAAATCGCATTATATCCGGTGTCCCATCTCTGGGTAAGTATATCTACTTCGAAAGTGACTCTGAAAAAACATTTCAAAGAATTTCTTTTAAAAAAGCAGGGTGTGGGTACCTAGGGGGTACTCGGTGACGGATTTTGCCATTTAGATTGTGAGGAGTGATGCGTATTTTCACTTGTTATGTTTATGGATATATACATTTTATTATTACATGATTTTATTTATGATTCAAGAGACTGAACGGTAGTTATAATTACCTATGTACGGTAATTCATTAATTATTCCTTGAGATTGTTCTTTTTCTACTAAAAAAAAAACAACACAAGAGCAGATATCTAGCAGATTTTTAATTTTCAAAATTATCGGAGACGGTGCTTTGCTTTTAAATATATGACTTAAAAGAGTTTCTAAACCACTTTTTGAGTCCGTAAAGACGATTGTTTTATTCAATTTATGTGAAAGTACATAGGATACGGCTTCTAAGATAGCCACCGCTTCTCCAGAAAAGACAGATGCTTCAATTAGACATTTAAAACTTAGCACAATTTTATATTTTGGGATACATACTGCTGCACCTACATTACCATCCGAGCAGGTTTTAGAAGCATCAGTGAAAATTGGCAGTCAGTTAATCCAATCTTTATTTAAAACAAACATTCCTGATTTTTTTTTGTGCAAAAGGTCATCTTTCTGTATACCGAAATTTAAAACTATATCAGGAGAAAAAATTAGGGCATCATAATTGATACTAAAAAGAGGGAGAACATCAAATTTTGTGATGTTGTGAGTCAAATTAGACAGTTTCTCATAGCTATCTATTATTCTAGGGGAATTCTTGTGAGTCCAATATGCTGAACCAGTTATGAGACTAGATAATTTACGAAGTCGAGAACACAGGGGGTGAGTTTGAAATTAAACAATTTTGAAAATGAATCTGTCAGAAAGATATTGACGTCTTAAATCTAAAGGAAGGCGCCTGATATGATACGTAGGCATCTTAGCTGTTGTTTGTCTAATTTTATAAGAGATTCTTTGTAGCACGGCTCAAGCAAAAAAGAACTGTAGTCAAACAAGCTGTGTATTAGGGCATTATATATAAGTTTCTGTGAATAGGGATGGGACCCCACCACACCCCAGAAAGTGACTTAAGAATATTCACAGATTTCTCCGATTTTTGTAGAACGTAATTGAAATGAGGAGAGCCAGTCAATTTGGAATCGAGAATAACACCCAAAAATTTAACCTGTTCAGAAGATGGAATAATTTGATCATCTATTTTGATTTCATCTACACTGTTAATTAATACATAAATCTGAAGGTGGCGGGGTGCTTATAGCTATCAAAAAATCTTTTAATATCGTTCGTCAATTAAGTTGGGAGAGTGAAGCTGAGGACATATGGGTCTCTGTCTCAAATGCTAAACCTTCTTTCTTAATACATTTATGTGTATGTTATCTGCCTCCCGATATACAATCTGACCTGCTGGTCAAATTTCATGATAAAATACAGTCGAATATACTTCATTTTAATAACGGCATTCCATTAATTATTGGAGATTTTAATGTTCCTAATTTGTCTTGGTCAAGTAACGGTGCCTACCTTGCCCCTAGCCTTCCCACTGACCCTAAATCCAAAATGCTACATGAAACACTCACACTATGCAGTCTTTCTCAGTTTAATAATATACACAATGCGAACCATCGTCTCTTGGACTTGGTTTTCACTACGGCTAACCAAATAAATGTCTCCAAAGCAAACCCATTATCTAAGGAAGATCGTCATCGCCCTCCTATCGAGATTCATTTGAAGCCGGGTAAATACGGGAATTCTATCAGATGTAACGTAAACCCACGCTACAATTTCTTTAAGTGTAACTTTCAACGTGTTCAATCTGACCTCGACAGTACTGACTGGACCTCATTACTAGATTTAGAGAATGTCGATGATGCTGTCGATGTTTTTTATCGGATTTTATACGATACCATAAAGCAACATACTCCACTGAGTAAAAACAATTTCCCAACGTGGTTTTCACCGGGACTTGAGAGATGTATGATTGAAAAAAATAAATACCACAAACGTTTCAAGAAGTATAATAATCCTAGGGATTATGACACATTTTCGTTATTACGGCATCGTGCGAAATGTTTACTAAATGCTTGTTATAAAAAATATGTATTGTCAGTTGAGGATGCATTGGAGGTAAATATTAAATCGTTTTGGAACTTTGTGCGTTTTAAAAAAGGAAACAGTAAAGACATTCCTCAGACGATGACACTTGATGGGGTGTCCTCGTCTGATGGCAAAGGTGTATGCGAACTTTTTTCTAGATACTTTGCCTCAGTTTTCGAGAACCCTTTGCCGGTAACACCCTCTAATTGTGATGACGTGTCGCTTCTCTCTGGCTCATTGTCATTGACAAAGGTACAAGTGACTTCTGTCGACGTACTGAAAAAGTTGAAAAAGTTGGATATAAATAAGGGGGCTGGCCCTGATAAACTTCCTGCTATAATCTTCAAGGTATGTGCTAAACAGCTCAGCAAACTATAGACCAATAAGTATCTTGTCATGTCCAGCGAAGATATTTGAGTCAATCATCTATGACTTTGTATACCACCACATCAAACCCCATTTATCGCCTAAACAGCATGGCTTCACAAAAGGTAGATCCACGGTTAGTAACCTTCTTGAGTACAGTCATTGTTTGTTTCAAGCATTTAATAATGGCGGTCAAATAGATGCTGTATACACAGATTTTAAAAAGGCATTCGACAAGGTTAATCACTATTTACTTTGCCGAAAAATTTGTGAATTTGGTATTCATGGGTCACTTTTCCGCTGGATCCAATCGTATCTCTCTAACAGACACCAACTGGTCGCCATTAAAGGTTTTTTGTCGGATCTCGTAGAGATTAAGTCTGGCGTTCCCCAGGGCTCCCATCTTGGCCCATTATTCTTCCTGATCTTTATTAATGATCTCGCTGAAAAACTATCTTGCCCGGGCTTACTGTACGCTGATGACCTCAAGGTTTTTCAACAGATTAATTCTATTGATGACTGTATAAAACTACAGAAGGATATTGACTATATATCACAATGGTGTGCTCTAAACAGTATGTTTTTAAATATCAACAAATGCACTGTCATATCTTTCACAAACAAGCGTAACAAATGTATCTTCGATTATCAACTAGAAGCTA